GGCTGCATTTTCAAGAGTCAGCATACTGAGTTTACTGCAGTTCCTGGGAAAAATAATTGCCCAGTGATCCAAAGGAACATTATTGATGAAAACAATTAACTGACCTAATGAAACCTCAAAAACTATCTTGGGGTGGTTTCTCCCAGCTAAAATATCTGGGACTTTTCCCCCAGATGTTAAGTGTCTGTGGTATGATGAGAGTCATGAACTATTTGTCAAGAAGTGGCTTAGCTATCTTCATTCCCTTTTTATCCCCTTATTTCAGGCTTACTACGATATGGGGAGGAATGAAAATTAAAAGAAAAATGAAGATGGAAATATTGCTTTGTGGGATTGTTTTAGATTCATGTCTTTATGCTCATAAATGAGTTAAACTGGTCTTGATTTTGTGCAGTATGCGCTGATAAATCCAATTTATCTTAGAATATATTAGAACAATTTATGATAATGATTCTGAATGGAACTACTGGAATTGATTTTTACAAGATGTTGGTCCTTTAATCAACACAATTAAGTGTGCCATATAATGCAACCTATGTGAACTAAATTCGCATTCATACTTCTCCCCTTTTTCTAGTTATCAATTGCAACATGTGGAGTACTTTTTTCCTCCTTTAACTATCTCTATCTTAGCATTGTATCTAATCTGTGAGTGATGGTCACTTTCAATTTGGTGTACAATATATTTTTCAATTATTTTTTTATTTCTTTAATCAATGTATAAGCTACCACCATTGTTGAGGCAACACTTAAGTGACATACTAGCACAATAAACATAATTTAGAATTCAAAAGAGAAAAAAAACCTCTTTGCTTGTTTGTAATTAAAGCCATCTACATTTCCATGTGTTTACATAACAAAAAAACTGATGTTCATTAAAAATATAGGACAGTCTTTCCATGTGGCTTTCAGTGAAACTAAAGGAGGGAAACAATAGGTGAAAGAAACTTACTTACATAGTTTTGAGAATGCCAGAAATCAAAGCTACTAGATAAGCAGGTAATTAATATATATTGAGTAAAGTGATAATTTGATCAGGAAGGCAATATGACAATTTGAAACCTTGAGTTCTAGTCATCCTTAAGCACTGAAGCTGATTGAGTGTTGATCACTCTCTCTTAGCCCAGACTTACTGAGGCTCTGTGATGCTACCTTGAGCTATAAAAATAAAAAGGGTAGAACATAAATAAAATAAATAAAATAAAGACAACTTATTTACACTTTAAATAAGAATGTGTAGTATATGTTGAAGTAAGATAACTTCACAGTTAGAATTGCACTTTAGATAACTTTTGGTTTCCTTTTAAGTATTTTTCTAAATGTGTTCAGTTATCCCTCCCTTGTTCTAAGTTACATTCCTCCAAAATTCCTCACATAAAATGTATTTCCATTACAAGTGATACTGAACTGGTGGGAAAGGGTAGTTGTGGAGTATGGTGTCAAAAGTGTATAACCACAACACATTGAGAAATGTACTCATAAAATTTCAGAGCCTTATTCTTAAGCGTTTTCTTCCTTGTCTCATATTCCATGTAACAGGAACACATGTCTTCCTCTTTTCTTCTACTGGATTTCTAATGTGCATGGTTATCATGGCAGACAAAGAGGTAGATATGGCACTTCAAATACTATTAGCATTCTTCTTTATCTTGTGTGTAATAAATTCACTCAGGGTAAAAACTCATGCTAGGGCCAAGGATCATTAGATGTAGAGTAATACATCCCACTTCATTTCTAGTGTTAGAGAGGTCATTTTTCTTCACACAGCACAATGGTGAATGTGTAAGAAAAAAGCAGAAAAGGATTTTGGTCGGAAAATGTTCCATTTTGGCATGTTTCAGATGGGAGTATATTTAAAAACCACAGTATCTGCATTTAAGACATGTAGTGTAAGTTTTGCATGCAGTGTAAGTTTTGCATGGAAGACTGAAAGAGCTATTAGAGGTTAACTTTTCCTTCTACTTAAAAGATACTTGGTATGGAACATTTTTGTTGAGAATTTAGCTCACTCTCAACTTTAACTTTGACCTTCAAAAATGACAATGGATTATGTAGTAGCTGTAACATGCTACCTCTTGGTGCAAGCTCACAAGAGGAGAACTATTCCACTGGAGAATATCATCAAACTGTTGTTTATGTCTCTCTCATTCTATTTACTGAGTGATTAGGGAGTAGGAAGTTATTAGGACAGCTTCTTTAGCTTCCATCTTCCAGCCATAGAACATTGTCTGGCTAATAAACTGCATTTATTCTGAAATTTCTTCTTGCAAAGCTGTAAGTATCAAACAACTTTTTAAAAAATATATATAATTTTATGCTTGAACCTTACAGAAGTAACTATTTCTTACTAGAAATAAACTAAAACAACTTCTGGCTTTATTAGTATACTCTAGAACTGCTAAGGGATGGGTGGATAGGTTCATGAGTGTCTACAGAAGGATTTGTCAAAATGTTAGGAGGACAAGTATAGTGAATGTCATGAGTGAAGCCTGAGGCTTTTTTCTGTGCATGTGAATAAACTTGGAAAATCCATGGGATCTGGTTTTAAAAGATCCTGATTTTTGATTGATTGCCACTTGTGTCACTCATTCTGCAGGTTTTAATCCTTTGTGGACAACACTTACTCAAATTCTCGACAAACATACATTACGAGGTTCAGTTCGTTTTCAAATTAATACATAGATTAAAAAATATAGAAAAAAATCCGACAAACGCTACATGTTTCAATGTATTCAAGAGCCCAAATAAATACTTTTATTTATTGTTTGTCAAAATCTTTATTTCAGAAGCCTCTCAAGCATATATTTCATTTTCTTTTTATTCTTCTATACTATTCCTTAGAAACACAAAGCATGACATTCCCAATCTAATATAACATTACTGTCATGGCCTTTCAACATGTCTTGTTAAAAATTATTGAGGATGAGATCTTATTATAAAAGTAATAACAGGCAGACAAACTGGTATCATGGCAATCTGCTATATAATACTTCAAACAAAAGTACACCAAACTCAAAACATGAAACAGACTAAATAAAAGAGAACTCTGATCTCAGGAAAATGTCTAGTTGGTTAATTATTTGAAAAGATATGCACAAAATTCAAACACAGATTTCTCTCATTGCTACATGGAAAGTTAAATGTGCAGGAGTTTCAAGAACTTTGCTGGTGATAATTGTTTCTGTTTCTATGGAAACATTCTGAATTGCTTCTCATGTGATGGTATTCATTATAAAAGAGACTGCTACAAAATCTTGGAGACATGAAGCTTTTAGTTTAAATCCTTTATTGAAACATCTGCAGTAACCTGAAATATAAATGACTTGAGTTAGTGCTTTTCAATTAATTCAAGCAGAAACATCGACAGAAGATATTTCAACACTTGAATTTACTGATGGCTATCTTCTACCATATTCTTTTTTGAAGTAGTCTTAATTGTTTCTGGGATGGAGGAAGGGACATCTATTAAATAGGAAGGAAAGAGTAAATCAGATTGTTGTTTTGTAGGATTGAGATAAATAAACACATACTTTTAAGGATAAATGAGATTCCATAGTCACATAGCAGATCAGCTACCTGCCTATTGATTTGATAATGTGTAGCTTTTTCTTCCCCATTATAAAGCATCCACTCTTTGCATTGAAAATAATTATGTAAAAATACTATTTTTAATAACCTAAAATTATCTGAATTCCAATTATCTACCTTGTGCAGATAATGTCTCCTTCCATAAACTCTGCTGTTAATTATGAGTGTATCCCTCTTTCAGATTCCATATTGAGAGAAGTCTCAATTGGTTTAACAAGAAGCAAACTTTTTTCATTAAAAAACTGAACTTCATGGGATGTCCAGTATTATTTTTATAAATTGCTTTGGTTCCACAATAAGCTTATGAAAATGCTCACTTTTCTTAGATATGTTTCTGCTGCTTTTAACTTGTAAATCAAAACTTTCTGGATATTGTCTAGAATCCATGGGCTCTAGTTATAAAAGATTCTAATTTTCTTGCCTAAAATTGCCCATGATTTCACTTAAATATCCTAGTTATATATTATAATTCTTGTTAATTGGCCCTAAAAGAACATGAAGCTTGGATCACCATATTATCTTCTACTAAAAAATGAGCTAATTAAAATGGAAAGAAAAAAAATGCTTGGGTGAGTTAAAATTTCAAATGTACATGGAAGTGGGAAAATTTGGTCAGAACTCTGGAGGCAACTTCTTCTGTAAGAGCCCCGAAGAACCTAGAAAGGAAATAGTATTTTGGAATATTCTTATGTGCAAAATTTATGTACTGTACATAGAAATAAAAACAAATATGACAAAGTACTGGGAGACTCTAGTAAAATAGTTAAGGACTATTAAACCCATTTAAATTTTTGCTAAGCTAAGCTTTGGGGTGAAAAAAATGTTTGGATGCTAATTTACATACATTGAAGATAAATTTAAAGGAAGTCAAGTTGTAGCACTTCTAGTGAAAAACACATGTTTCAGGAAGATGCAGTCTTTAAAACTGAAACTTTGGTGCAGTTTTAAATGGTGACAAACTTTAAGTTTCCATTTTCATGCATTTTACCCCACAATATTCTAGTGCCTTAAAGAGTAGATTACATAAAAATAAGAGATGATACAACTATTTTTCTCAGGAGTGTCAGCTTATTACCAATTTTTCTTAAGTAATGTAATTGTTTTGGATTTAATGAAGCAACATAGAATTAAGTTATAGGATAATGGTAAAACAATATCACTATCATATAAGAATTAATTGTAAAAGCTGCTCAAAACTGGCTTGCATGGAACTTGATTTACATCAGATAATTACAGTTGCCAGAGGATGATATTCATGGACTAGGTTGTGGTGTGCAAACAACTGTAACAAATAAACCAGAAAATTATAATGTGCAAAAGGAAATGTATGTATTTATTTTAAAATATTTATCATTCTCACAAAGTATAAATCTGTAATATGATTCTTTCACCGGAAGCACTTTGTTTTGCAGGATTTTGAATTAAATAATGAATTGAAGATGAGTGTTCTTAATCTACTAGAAGAAGTTTTGAGAGACCCTGACCTTTTGCCACAAGAAAGAAAAGCTACAGCAAATATACTGAGGTAAAGAGGATTTATGAGCTTCATAACAGAAGTAGTATAAAAGAAACAGAAGTGTGAGCTATTCAGATGTTTAGATTCAGTGTATCACTTTAAAAAGGGGGATATCTAATTTTCTTACAAAAATGTGATATTGATCAACTGTTTCATAGTTAAAACCATTTTAATCTTTCTCTAAGGAACATATAGTGCAAAATTATACCCTGTTAGGGTATCATTTAGGATCCTTTTGTTCTTTTCACCAAAAATTTGATTGCAAATTAAAAATATATGAACATTCTAAATTTATTACATACAAGCAATTTGAGAAGTTAAGGCCCTCCAATAAGTCACCCAAGCCACTTGTTTACATGATAAAAACAATAATTTCCAGTTCCAAACAGTTTGAGTGCTACAATTGAAAAGCAAAAACATACTTCAAACATTTTGAAAGAACTAGTGCCGAAATATTGTTCTGCAAGAACAGCTACAGAAAATTTGTATAACATCTTATACTGTGGTGGCGGCGTAGTGGTTCGAATGCGGTATTGCAGGCTAATTCTGCTGACTGCCAGGTGCCAGAAATTGGGCAGTTTGATTCTCATCCTTCTGAGGTCAGTAAAATGAGGATCCAGATTGTTGGGGGCAAAATGCTGACTCTGTAAACCATTTAGAGAGCAATAGCAATAGCAGTAGCAATAGCAGTGAGACTTATATACCGCTTCATAGGGCTTTCAGCCCTCTCTAAGCGGTTTACAGAGTCAGCATATTGCCCCCAACAACAATCCGGGTCCTCATTTCACCCACCTCGGAAGGATGGAAGGCTGAGTCAACCCTGAGCCGGTGAGATTTGAACAGCCGAACTGCAGAACTGCAGTCAGCTGAAGTAGCCTGCAGTGCTGCATTTAACCACTGCGCCACCTCGGCTCTGGGGGTTGTAAAGCACTATGAAATGGTATATAAGTCTACAGTAAGTGTGTCTGTTGTTAAACAACATAATAAGTGTTAGTCTGGTGAGCATTTGGTATTATTTACTCTAAACCCTATCCTCACTTTCAGGTAGGCTTATAGTGATGTCTATATGATTGACTTTTGTATTACACAGCTGACTCAGATAATTTGATACCCTTACAATAGGTTGGTAGATGGTGGATCTGAGAATCAGTATCAGTGGATCTGCAAGGGATTAAATATTGAGATTCAATGAATGATTTTTCATAATTCCATGTCATCTTGAAGACATGTTTTACATTAAGTGGAATATAAATTGAATATACTGTATCTGGCATGTATTTATAGAGTACTAGAAACATTGCAATTGAAAATCATTATGAAAATGCAAGACTTGCATGGCATCAGCGGAACTTATTTCTGAAGAGACATTACAAATTATGGCTATCATTTATTAGGTATTATTTCAAAATAGTCATGAAGATGCATCCTGTAAGTTCTTCTTAGGGAAGCTTTTGGTTATATCCCACTTTCTTGAAGTAAAGAGAAGAAAGACAGAGACTTAATTGCTGCTCCTGCTTTGCAGAATACCTCCCCTTACAATTAAGATTTCCTCCATCTCCTATAATGTTCCAGCAGCTACTAATTTTCCTGTGAAGCATTTGGTTAGCTTGTTTTTGCGGTCTTCAATTTATTTCACTTTGAATGATTTATTCATTTATTTGTATTATTTTTAATTAATTTTCCTGTTTTTAATTAATTTTCCTGTCAGTATAATTTAGCATTATAGTTTATTCTTGATTGCTGTAACTTTGATTACATATTGTTTTAAAGCAGTGTTTCCCAAACTTGGCAACTTGAAGATGTCCGGACTTCAACTCCCAGAATTCCCCAGCCAGCGAATGCTGGCTGGGGAATTCTGGGAGTTGAAGTCCGGACATCTTCAAGTTGCCAAGGTTGAGAAACACTGCTCTGGACAGTATTGACATATATGGGCCAGATGGATGACCAACCTGATTCTGTAGAAGGTGGCTTTATGTTTCCTAATGTCTGTACTTTGTTTACCTTTTTAATCAGCAAAAGAGAAGAAGCTACTATTTTCAAAACATATTTCATGAATATCTTGCTTGGAGGGGAAAGGCGGTAATGAGTGTAAAGAAGTTATATGAAGCAATATACATGATTCACACTGTGTGATCATGTTAAATAGGAAAATAAGTTGATTTTAATGGGACCCTATTCTAGTATAAAAGTTTTAGAACTTTTCTCCTAATTCTTCTTACTTTAAAGATCTGGCTAAAGAGTGTTAACCAAGGAAAACATGGTTTGTTTTTTTTAACAAACATTGTTTGCTGATTTAATAAGGCTTTAAGTAAAGGCTTTTACATTTATAACCAATTTCTTTTTAGTAGTTCAGAAGAATTCATTCCGGAATTGTGACATTGTTGCCAAAGTAAATGGAGCCAACAGAAATAAATATTCTCTGTTTTTTGCTGTTTCTTTTTTCCCCCAGAGAATTTCTTGGGCAGGGTTGGATGAAATTGGATAAAAATGAAAGAACACCTTACATTATGAAAACCAGCCAACATTTTAATGATGTGAGTTGTAATAGAAATAGAGAATACTTTCTAAGAATATAAGAATGCTAGATTAAAAATATTTCTGAGACCATAAAAGTTACCAAAGATAACCAAAATAAAGGTTACCAAAGGATTCCAGTTTTCCTAAAGAGTAACCAAGCAGTTTGCTAGTAAGCATTTTAAAAAGTAGAATCCTAAGAAATTTGCTGAGTGTAAAACAAATTGTTCCTTATTATTTTGATTGTTTCTGTTTATATATCATATTGCTTTTTTGCTTTTGGTATGCTTTTGGAATCTATTGTACAGTGTTTCCTTTGCTATCTGTTCAGTGATTTCTTCGTTTTTGTTTTGTTTTATTAGAGGCTTTTGCAATCTAGCACTTCTCAAATGTTATATCAGAATGTCCAATATTCTTGAAGGGTAGCAGGTTGGGAAAAGCTGTCCTATTTTCGTCATTTTTGTAATAAATATTTTGTTTGCTAAAAGCCAGAGATATTTAAATCATTATTTAAATATATGTTTAATTCAGTCTTGTAAATGCAAATATTTATGGTGCTAGTTCTTTCATTTAGATGAGCAACCTTGTAGCATCCCAAATTATGAATTACACTGATATCAGTTCCCGTGCTAATACCATTGAGAAATGGGTTGCAGTGGCAGATATTTGCCGTTGTCTGCACAACTACAATGGTGTCCTTGAAATCACATCAGCCTTCAACAGAAGTGCAATCTACAGACTAAAGAAAACCTGGGCAAAGGTTTCTAAACAAGTAAGTAATTAATACTGACTGAGACAACATGATTTTAAAAAATAGATTTTATCAAGTACAATTGTAGATTTAAATATTTTTGAATTATTTTAATTGATATACAGGTAGACCTCAACTTACCACCACAACCGAGACCAAAATTTCGGTTGTGAGACATTTGTTAAGTGAGTTTTGCCCCATTTTATGACCTTTGTTGCCACAGTTGTTAAGTGAATCACTGCAGTTGATAAGTTAGTAACATGGTTGTTAAGTGAATCTGGCTTCCCCATTTACTTTACTTATCAGAAGGTCACAAAAGGTCACAAAAGGTCACATGACCTTGGGACACAGTAACGGTCATAAGTATGAACCACAAAAAGACTTACTCTTGGGTGAAAGAAAGATTGTCCAAGCCCGTGATCTAACTGTTGAGCACCAAATTACTTTCATGATGAGAAAATTGTGTAGTTTATTGAACCTAATATTTTTGGTATTCTTTTCATAAGGGTGCATTTCTGGATGTATTACTGTAGCAGTTTAAATATTCTTGTAAAAATGACATGTTTTCTCATGTAAATATCTGATGCAGCCATGAATTCAATTAAACAATTTTATGATGAGCCTGTTTCAGGACTTATGTTTAATATATGGTAGGACAGACTTTGATATGTGTGTTTTAAGAAGTTGAACAAAACAGTGAATACACACATAAAGGTTTTTCTGTGCCAGCCTCTTATTTCAGTAGGCTATGATTAATGAAGATTACTACACATTTCTCTGAAGCTAAATTCTTGTTTAGGAAGCCCTTTCTGTGTTCTATTACATATTTGTCATTTTTTGTTTGTAGACTAAAGCTCTTATGGATAAACTTCAAAAGATTGTGTCATCTGAGGGAAGATTTAAAAATCTGAGAGAAACACTCAAGAAGTATGTCTCTTATTTTGTTCTAATTATTGTATGATTTAAAATTTGCATCTATAGAGGATGACAGACTATTTCTTTTTTTAAAAAAAGCATTGGTCCTTTGTTTCTGCAAATAGCAATCATTGAAACAATTTTGATTGAAACCTGAAATCAAAACTATGTCAGTGATAGTTAATTTGGCTTCACTTCCATATTCTTTAATAGGTTTCTTTTCAGGAATAGTTCAGTCTCTTTTTCTCCTGCTTCTTACTCTGAGCTGTTTGTTATCCCTAACATCTGTGTAATAAGGACAACAGAAGATACAAAAGTTTGAATGTTTTTGTGACCTTTTCATTTAGCTAGTTAAAGTTACAGACCTGAAACAGGAATGGCTGTTTTACCATCACATCCATGGCAGATTGGATTACAGCCCTGTTTTGTAGAATGGAAGCTCCTGTTACAAAGTTGTTTCCCTTGCATCCAAAAACCTCTTCTTGCAGTTCTTCTATGAAGGAGGAATAGAAGAATGCTTGTTCTATGCAGGATAAGTTAGAGAAAAATAATCCCAGCTTCATTGAGCATATAATGTGTGCAAGAGATGATAAAGAAGAACTTTGACACCTCTTCTTTGAAGGACTCAGTGAAGTAATGACATTTTGTTTTCTCGGCACAAAAATATGTTAGAGGAAAAAGGTTATGTTTGGATTTGGTGCGTAGTCTGTAGGCTACGGTAGTCCATAGGCTGGAGATTGCCTTGTTATTCACCCAGTTCCCTGCAATTAATCAAATTAATTAAAATACTATAATGACAATCAAATCTGAAAGTTAAATATAATACTGTTATACCATGAATTCATCCTAATAAACATAGTATTTTATAAAGCTGTTGTTCTAATTATCTGTATTCAGAGTACAGGTAGTCCTCGACTTATGACTACAATTGAGCCCAAAATTTCTGTTTTTAAGTGAGATGTTTGCTAAGTGAGTTTTGCCACATTTTATAACCATTCTTGCCACAGTTGTTAAGTGAATCACTTCAGTTGTTAAGTTTGTATCATGGTTATTAATTGAATCTGGCTTCCCTATTGACTTTGCTTGTCAGAAGATCGAAAAGGGCATCACATGATCTTGGGACACAGCAACGGTCATAACTATGAGTCAGTGGCCAAGCATCTGAATCACATGATCACATGATCATGAGAATGCTACAAAAGTCGTAAGTGTGAAAAATTGTCCTAAGTCACTTTTTTCAGTGTAGTTATAACTTTGAATGGTAAATGAATTGTAAGTTGAAGACTAGCTGTCATTACTACTAGATATTGTGCAACTTACTTCTAAATAAAGCTATTTATTTGACATACATTTTGATAGTGGAAAAAGGGAGGAAAGATTGTCTGTAACTTACAATCCTGACAGCTGGCTTTTCTTATTCTGCAGTTGCAATCCTCCTTCGGTGCCATATCTGGGGATGTACCTCACAGATCTGGCATTTATTGAAGAAGGAACACCAAACTTTACTGAAGAAGGCCTCGTCAATTTTTCTAAAATGCGAATGGTAATTTTTTTACAGGTTTTTAAAAAAAGTTATAAGGATTTATAGGTATCAACATGTAAGATTATATTTCATAGTTAGTTCAGATAGAAATTAAAGAAGCAATTGTTGATCCTTGTATTTACAATCAATGTTCTATCACCATCTACTGGCATATTTTAGAGAATCAGTATTGTAGTCTTGATTAGCCCAGTATCTATCACATCCATAACATAGACACTAACCCAGTCAAAACTCCTTCTGTGTGTTTCTGGCAACAGAGAATTATCCCAAAACTGGATTAAAAAGCACTATTTTGGAAATACAGAATCGATACCCATTTTTTCTATATTTTTTTAAACCCAAGGATGTTAAATATAACTCACAACAAAATTAATCTACCCAGTAAAGCCTAGAACACTCAAACCCACTCAAAAACTCATTTTGCATACCCTCAGTTAAAAAGGAGCTGGAGAGAAAGAACAATAGAAAAACGAGTTTCTCTACTGTAGAATTTAGGCTACCCCATTAACATCAAATATACCTCCCCAAATCTCATTCGCTCCAGTTGATAAGCCATACCCATTGTTGCCTGTTTGGACAATCAGGGATATGCTATTGGGAAAACAGTTTTTCAAGTGGAAAGTCCAAAGTTACAGTAAAATAATAGTTTTTTTATTGTTTAATTCTACTGGGTTAGAGCATAAATCCTGCTTTTGGCCTTGGATGAACTGTTCAGAGACTAAACGAGCTCCAGAAAGAAAAGGAAAGAATATAAACCTTGCTATATTTTACAATTTTATATAAAAAAATAGAATTCAAACCACTGTTCTAAAACTCAACAACAAATTATTATTGATACTTGTTTATTTAACAGATATCGCATATTATCAGGGAAATACGTCAATTCCAACAGGCTTCCTATCGAATAGAGCATCAACAAAAGGTACAATATTTTCATATCTCCTTTTACCACTTTTTATACCTTATTCTGAATGTAGTAATAAATGCTGCCTCATTTTTTTTTAATCACTAAAGTATGTGAAGAGATTTGTGACTTCAAGTTTCAGCATTTGGGAGGTACAGAGTGGCAGAAGCTGTCTCCCAATATTTGCTGGAATTTGACTTCTTTTCCATGTCTGTAATGTGACCACAGAAGGGATGCGCTGGCTCAGTGGCTAAGATGCTGAACTTGTCGATCAGAAAGGTCGGCAATTCAAATCCCTAGCGCCGCATATCAGAGTGAGCTCCCATTACTTGTCCCAGCTTCTGCCAACCTAGCAGTTCCAAAGCATGTTAAAAATGCAAGTAGAAAAATAGGAACCAGGGAAGGTAACAGCATTCTGTGCGCCTTCGGCATTTAGTCATGCTGGCCACATGACCACGGAGACATTTTCGGACAGCATTGGCTTTTTGACTTTGAAATGGAGATACATATGTGTGAGGGGAACCTATACATTTACCTTAATGTGACCACATAGAAAAAGAAAAGGGTTTGTGTCATGACACCATGACAACAGATGACACTCTTGGGATCTCTTGCTGCCCCCTGGACACCACTGGTTCCTATTCACAATTTCTTCTTGCATGACCATACAAGTCAAAGAGGAAACATAAAAAACAGGTTCCCTTCCTTCTCTTGGTTGATCTGTATAAGTAGCCATCACTTTGCATTGAGTGAGATGACAACCTAGACATAACCCACAGAAGGTTATTTTTAGCCACACTGCTTTGATGGGAAGGCTGGTGGGGTTATGGCAGACTAAATTGTCTGACTGCCGTCTTCATTTAAAAAAAAGTATTTGTGTTCTTTTCTAAATCACATATCTGCTTCTTCTCGTGTTTGTATCAAAGAAGATTGAAATATCTCATTTTGACAGAAACTACAATTCTATTCAAGAAAGTGTATAATGATTCCAACATCACTAAACAATTGTTTCATATATTTGTTTTCCCAGGTCACTCAGTACTTGTTGGACAAAAGCCTCATCATAGATGAGGACACACTTTACGAGCTATCCCTAAAAATTGAGCCAAGATTGCCAGCCTGAGAAACCAATATTATTCTTCAGCCACCAAGAACTTAGTCTAATGGAAAAAATATGCATGGCATGCCTCTACAGAATGCAAGGGGCAAAAGCTGAGAAAAATTGAAATTCCCTTCTCCATTAAAGGGATGCAGAGTCTCACAGAGATACTTTTTCAGAGAAGTAACTGTTGGAGGAACGGAGCCACGTAGCAGAAATGTGGGTCAAATGGTTGTCACTTGACAGAAGGAAAGAGATTTCAAAACAAATAAAGGACTAAAGAAAGGATGGGCAATAACAGTAGTAAGCCAGTCAAGGAGATCACAGAATGAAATCTGAATACAGCATTTTTCTAGAATTGAATAAATGATAGCATGCTGCTAGAGGAAGAAATCTTGTCTATCTGTCTTTGGATGCAATTCAAAAGTCATGCTTTATTAGGTATTTTGACCAAATTTTTGCACTTTATCAAGTCTATTGTAAATGAAAGAGTATTTGTAGAAGCAACGATGTAATATGTAACAGCATTATTTCCTGAATAATCTGTTCATATAATTCCTTCGGCACGGCGAGAAGTATTAAAACAGGCAAGTTGGCATCTGCAGCATCCAGCAGCTTCCCTGTTTTGATACCCTAAAACTGTTCGTTTTAACTGAAGATGTCAGTTCATAAATTAATTTTCCGAAATTTTTCCTTTTTCCCAAACCAAAAGAAGACTGAAAAATATCAGTGTGCCATTATAGCTTAATAGTCTAAATATATTATTCATTCTCTAATAATAGCAATATGTGAGATGATCTGGTATGCAAATTAATGCACTGTCTTGCATGGTTGCTCGATATACAAGCTTAGAAGGGACTGGATTGATATTGCAATGTTGTGGTAACCCTGTCTCTATAGTAGGTTAGTCTCTTTGGTAATTTGTACATTGTTTTCCAATAGCACATTTGTCATATAACCTTTGTTAAAATATATATGTCTTAATGAGTTTGTGATGTCTTCTCCTATGCACTAGTAGATGAAATGAGTGGGTTTTTTCCTTTCATACTGGAAAATAGTTCCAATCAAATATCCTATTATAAGGATCGACTTTTTGCCTTCTGCCCCCCAATCCTTTGAAGACAATAAGTAACCCTCAGCTCTGTATTGGCGTCCGAGGCTAGTGACTTATAGTCAGTAGGTTAACCTGAGAAGTAATAGGACTAAATAGTATATACTTTTGATGTTCCGATGGATTTTCATGCTCTTTAGAACAAGTTATGAAGATGTAGAGTTTCTGAATCTTTTACTTTTTCATGGATAACACTACACCCTATGATCACTCTCTTTGGCACTATAATATCATTTAAGTATCATTGAGCTTTACGTAACTAGGCTAGCAGTTACAAGTGTATATGTGTAATTATGCATGTGTCTATATACAATAATTACTCCAGGATCACCTTAATAATGATAAAATCCAGTTTCTGTAAGTGTAACTTGCTCTGTCACATCCATTAATAGCAGTAGACTTATATACCGCTTCATAGGCCTTTCAGGCCTCTCTAAGCGGTTTACAGAGAGTCAGCATATTGCCCCCAACAATCTGGGTCCTCATTTTACCCACCTCGGAAGGATGGAAGGCTGAGTCAACCCTGAGCCGGTGAGATTTGAACCGCTGACCTGCTGATCTAGCAGTAGCCTGCAGTGCTGCATTTAACCACTGCGCCACCTTGGCTCTAAATAAAGAGATTAATAAAGAGATTCCATATTTTCTTCTAAAGAAAAGAAAATTTCCAACACTGAACAGTACATTAAGTCTACTGTTTATATAGAGTTTTGAGCAAACATACTTGAATTGCAGCCGTGATCTTATAAGAATTACAAATTATTTTGCATAATCATTTATATTTTTTTGCTACAAGTCAATCTGTGTATATTATATTCCCTCACCCATGAATTTTAGATTACAAGATTGTTTGAACTGCAGTAATTTGTCAAATCCTTGGAAAGTAAAAACATGTTTATCCTATTTTTTTAAACTTTGAAAGAGTAAATAATATTTTAATCTCACATTCTTCATATTGACTTTAGAAGGAAGAATATGTTTAAATATTTGTTGCAGAAACTATCTAGGAAGAAAAAATATTTTTGTTTATCTGATTTGAATAAGTTACTAACAGATTTATTTTTTTAAGTTTATGGAGATTAGATTACTCGTAGATCAATTTACATTTTCAGACATACATAGTCTTTGATTGCCTAAATAAAAGTAGTCTCCCTAAATTGAAAGAGTACATAAATCAATTGTTTAAAAATGCATTTAATATCACTTTTGAATAACTAGAGTAAAAAGTGTGCTTTTCCAAGGAGTCTCAGCCAGTAGATGAAAAATCCCCTTAAACCTCTCAGGAGTATTACTGTTTAAAACAGGATGATCATTTGGTCATATTTGAGAATTTAATACTTAGTGCTAAACTCTGACAATGGAAAATTAATCTGTGCAGGGTTTTTTTATCTCCATTTCTATTATATTGCCAGCCCATAAAATCTAGTTTTGTCTAATTACAGATCCCATCCATTATCTGCTCAGTAGGAAATTTAATCATTCTAAAACCCTATTTTTATATAACTATACGCGTGACTGCACATTTAAAGGAATTATAAAATACTCTGTTAAGTTTTCAGAAGAACTTAAATAGGAATGCTGTAGGCATGTTTAAGTATTTATGGTAAATTTCATTGTGAACAATGTTATTTATAGATATTTGTTTATTATCTTTTGTCGAAGATGATTGTTCTTTTCATAAATGCCTGTCAGAAAAAGATAATAGCAGTTTGAGCATGGTAGAAGCATGAATTATATGACCACCAGATAATTTACTGATATTTTCATTGTGTTAATAACAATTTTTAAAATTTCACGCACCAGTTATTTAACAGAACTACACTAATTTTCAAGGCAGGACTTTTTAGTTATTTTCTTTCTTCTAGAGTGAATCAGCTTCCCTTCTTCACAAATTCCATCTAGAACCTATACATTATTTTGTGAAAATTGTTTGTGAATGTAGTGATTTGTAATTTATTTTGATTTTCTTGTCTTTCATTTTATAATAGTAGCTTTGTCCTTTCAGGGGGCACTTTGCCTATTTTGGATTCTAAGTGCAGCCGAAGGTGCTTATATCTGTTTTTATCCTATTTAATTTACATATTCCATTAAATTATATGATAACTCTTATTCTGTGTGGTCCTTGTTTTCTGACCTTTTTGTTCAAAATCTTTAGCAACGTTAAATTAATTGTTGTTAACAAGGATTCTATATATATTTCTGCCATCATGAGGAGAGGTCAATATTCCTACTGAATATTCAGTACTGTCTAGCATTATCCTAAAATATAGTTCCTAGAAGATTTAATTAAAGAAAATAAGTTCAAGGTATATTAGAATCATTCAGGTATTATTGCATTTGGACAGATTCTGTATTGTAGGCCTTTCATTCAAGCAAAATAGCAAATCCCAACTTTTTTTTTGTAACTGTAGTGATATCTTTGATATTCTATTCATTTATTATTTTATTGCAGTTTTCTGAATAAATGCCAATATAGTTAAATTGTGTTGATGAAATTAAAAAAAAATACTAATAGTTCTTTTGCAACCTAATCTGTTAAATACATCAATGTATCTCTAGCAGGTGACAAAGTTATCCCATTTGTAAAATAACTATATAGTATATTATGGTATATCACTCAATAGTCTTTTAAAATAGCAATTTTTAATAAAGAATTAATGGCCTACTAATGCTTCATTATAACTAAAAAAAAAAACTATAAGCTTTTTCAGATCAGCAATATTATCAGTCTTTAAGAAAAAAAACCAATTCAAATTAAATGGCTTTTATCTTTAAAAGCTTCTTTAAAAGCTTGTACTAATGGAGTCTTATGCAAATTTAGATGTGATGTCAAGAGCCTATTTCTACCTGCCTGATTTATTTATAAACAGGGATATTCCTTCGCTGATGAAATTTATGTCACCATGCATAATGATCAGTTGCGGGGTAAGGGAGAACAGCTGTAAATCTCATTTTAAAATGATTTTGATTACAGCCAATATCAGCCTCAACCATTTTAACATTTTGCCTGTTCCAATACTGCATTCATATTTTTTATATTTTAGTTTAAGTTGCTTGCTTTTCATCTCTCTTATTGGGTAGTTTCTCTGAGAAAAGTCTACATGGTGGACACACAACAGACAAATCACACAGATTATTTTTCACAATGGATCGATCTATGACAACTAGTATGGGAGATAAGATAAATTTCAATGTGCTAGTGCTAGGAGTTCCACAAAACTCCTTACTTTTAAAAGTTTAATAAACTTTAATAAATGTTAAATTATAATAAAATATGTAAATGTTAAACATTTAATGTGGCTCCTCACATTTGTGGAATATCAGGAGAAGCAGGTAGGACTATAACTGTTTTCTAAACTCTACAGGAGGATTGCTTCAGATCCATTTAGCTTATACTAAAGATCTACTGCTGATATAGAGACTAACTTCCAAAAGACATCTAGTTAGCATTCTCTGACATAGGCAAGGGTATCACCAAACCTTCTCTAGCCAATCTCAGACTGTATATGGTCTATGGCAGTGATGGCGAACCTTTTTCACTTTGAGTGCTAAAAGCATGCCTGCGGGTGCTATCGCACATGCTCACATGCCCACCCCCATAATTTCATGCCCCCACCATGTCATGTTCCCTGCACATATATATGTATATGGAAATTCATGGCACTCTTCTAGGCAGGAGTTCTAATCATTCTCAACAAAAATAGTTTTACCTTACACAAGAATATAGGATACCATTGCATCATCTTCAACCTTCACATTATCATCTTCTCTGTCTTCACCGCCTCCTTCTCTGATGACCTGGAGCTGTCAGGACATAGCATACTCCCTTCCTTGCTCCATCATGGGTGACTGGAAAGTAAGTTCTTCCTTCCAATTCTATTGTATTTTCAACTTGATTGATTGATTGATCAACTGATACTATACCTTCAATTCTTAGCAGCAGCATTGATTCTTCAGTTGCATTTCATAACTCAATCCTCTGTTCTAAGCTCTCAGTCTGGGGGGGGGAGGATTTCCATTTCCTTATCTGGACTCAAGAGTCTCTTCTAACTTATTCTCAGGTGCTTTCCATATCCCCAAATATTCTTCTTCCATTCTATGCAGGAGAATATAATGCCGCCCTTATCTTACCAAACTAATAGGCTTTCCCTTCAGTATCACGAAAAAGCAGAATGTGTAGCATTTAGGAAATGAACTTGGGAGTTTCACAAATGGAACTACAAAGAAGCATGCATGTCTTTGTCTGGGGGAGTTCTTCCAATGAATCAAATTGCTAGATTGTCCTTCTGGCACTGGGTACCTAAAACACATTATTGTCACAAATCTGCAATGCATATGAGTGGTGTGTGCATGTGTGTGCGCGTGTATGTGAGGAACAATGTGGGACCAGAAGGGAACAATGAAAAACGGGTTACACTATCTTCAGGATGGATAAAAGCTACAGATGAAAATGTATAGGAGTGATTGTGCAAGTACATGAAATTATGAACAAAACTTATTTCAGTGTATTGATCATTTCTCCAAACACAGCCTAATCCACATTGTGGGTAGAAGTAATTACACAAGGTTTTGATACTATGTACTTGGAGCTTATATGGACAAGAAACCTGAATTCTAAAATATTTATTTTTCAGCAATAATTTCTGTTAGAGAAAATCACTGTAGTTATTCTAAAATGGAAGCAAATTCTACGATGTTTCTATTACATGAAAGTTGAAAGTCATTGGAGACCCATTATAACTCATCTCTAACAAATAAAAACTTCCTATTAAATGTTTATCACACAAAGTTGTTATAACAATCCATATATTCTACTCATGTTTTGCTTTTAACATTAAAATTCTGATCTGAAGTCCACACATATTTAATAAACCTTTCTGTTACTATGATTTTTCATCTATTTGATATTTTTTCTTAGCCAGTTTGAGTCAGTGCTGCATACATTCCTCAGGGAGGGTGTGGGAATTGACACACAGCTAAACAGTGTGCATAATAACTTGCAGAAACAATTGCCTTCTATCTAGTGTATAACTATTGTTAACAGCTTTAAACACTGATTGTTATTCTTCCACAAATGCACCTATTTTATTTGCTCCAATGTGCACATAAATCTAGATTAGATGAAATGATTTGTATTATTCTGAATGTTTTTATTTTTTATAACTTATTAATATAAGTTATTTTTCAAATGTACATAGAAACTGCTATACACAGGGATGTATATTGATAGCCATTTTTAAGAAATTGAACACAAAGACAAGTAGCTGAAAGAACTTCAGTAACATAAACATTATCACAGATATCAGAGTGATTGATCAATTATGTATTGTCAAGTTGATATTGTTTCTTGGTAACCACAGAGATTTTCTCCATAACAAACTGTGCCCACCCTGGACCTATTACCAATTAGTCCATCCACCTTACTGCTGGTCTATTTCTTTCTTTCCACTTTTTCCAGCACTACAGTCTTCTTCAGAGAGATAAGTAATGTATCTGAAATATGATCATTTGAGTTTGGTCCTTTGAGGCTGCACATTTGTGCTCCAACTCTAGATTGAATTGATTGATGATCCATTTGTTTGCTTTCTTGGCTGCTCAATGCTATTTCCTACTTGTATTTGTTCTTTAATTTTAGTCCCGTTTTTCACTGTTCTTTATCACTGTTAATATTAGGACTTCTAGATCCTTTGCGTTTTTGGCTATCAGAATAATGTCAACAGTATAGCACAGGTCATTAATTTTTCTTCCTCCAGTTTGAAAACCACCTTACGTTTCTTCCAATTTAGCTTCCCTTAGTATATATTCAGCATAAAAGTTGAATATACAAGAAGATAATGCACAGCTTTATCTGATTCCTTTGCCACCTTGGAACCAGTCTGTTTCACCATATTATGGCCATAATGTGGTTTCCTGATATGTATGAAGGTTTTGCATGAGATCAATGAGATGTTCAGGGATTAATTTTTTAAGCACATTCATAGCTTGATATGAGCAATAGAGTCAAACTTTTTTTTTATTATCATTGAAATATATATTGAATTATTTTTGTATTGGTTTACTTTTTAAATTATCCAGTGTGCATCAATAAGAATATCTTGTATTATTTAGTCTTTTGTATAATCTCCTTTTCTGGGTAGGGCTATAATTTGTGTTGAATGATCCTAATTATTATTTTGCTAACATATGAAATTTAAGAATATTGTAGGATGTTTTGCGCACATTCCATTAATTTTCCTTTTCTTTGGTATTAAAAAGGAAGATTGCCCTCTTATTTATTTATTCAACACAATTCTACCCCACCTAACTGACTCTGGGCATGTATTGTAAATACAGCAAATATCTCACAATACAAAACATAAATAAGAACAAAGCTAAAATATAATTAAAAATGTAAAGATATTAAAAGTTGAGAGAAAACACCCTCATGACACAAACCACCATCAATTCACAAATCACTTCCTCCCACATGTTGATTTGCTAGCATAGATTGGGTTAAAAGAACCTAATACTTCTATTGCTCATCAAATTTCTGAGGATAGTTCATCAGTTCCTGTAGCCTTCTACCCTGATAATTACCAGACTTCTTATCTAACATCATCTTATCATACTAGACTCGAGGTTCTTATAAGTACCGGAAATCTTCAAAGATATCTTGGAACAAAGCAGTAAAATGTATGCAAAATCTGTTCAGGCCAATTTTCCCGATGCTTGGTTACAAGATTCCAGAAAAATTAAAACACTGCAGAGCTAGCCAGCATTGGAGATGCAGCACAAATATGCAGCTTGATTAAATTTAGCAGGAGAAGCCTGTTAATTTGCTAATACAATTCACATTATCATGTAAAATCCATTTGCTATGGGAATAAGAAGTGAGAGATATGGGAGGTGGAGATGAGCAGGCAATAGAGTCTACCATATATATATGGAAATCTTCCCAAGCATCGTTCCAGTAGTAAAAGGTTGACACTTTAAAAATGATCCAAGTTCATCTGAATGTACTAATATATAGATTAAAGACTGACGCTGGTTAGGAGTGTCAGTTTGATATTTTATTTTAAGGACAAAAACCATTACAGAAAGCTAGATTAAACTATTTAATAATAAGAGCACAAAAGATGCCCATGAAATCATTGTGCCTTCAAGGACATAGCTCTATGGTCAAATGTTTTTCAACTACCTGAATGGTTAAAGATATTTTTCTCCTCGGTCGTCCTTCCCCATTCTTCATCTTCCACTTTGCTTCTCATGTGACCTGTAATTTTGCTGCCACACAAACTTGAGTTTCCTTTACACTTCCTGGCTGCTGGCATACAGGACTTGTGTCACTTCAGCTTCAAGGTCAGTTGTGTTTGCAACTTTTTATTTACCATTGCTGTGACATTTCAAACAGCGGAGTTTTTTTAAAAAATGAACTCAAAATGCTGCTAATTGAAGTCTTGGAAGAGATCATATTTAATCATTTGCATAACTCTGCAGAAAACTGTGAAGGATACTTGCTTGTCATGTTTCTATTCTAAATAGTGATCCTGAAACAAATAAGTTAAATACTTGAAAGTCACATTTGTTGTATGCAAAAGCAATAATGTTTCTATAGGCAATCTGTTGAGCAGGCAATTTAAAAATGTCAAAGCTGTCCATAAATGTCTTCTATTAACAAGAGAGACTGAAATGTCATTGTCAATGTTTTATTACCAGAGGAAAGTTGCTTGGTATCCAGACTTATTTTTGGCTGGCATGCTCTGTATCTTTTCAAACTAGCTTTCTATAAAGACCATTGCTTTATGAATTTTATTTTATCTATTAAAAAAAGCCATAATAATATAATCAGATACTGGAGATGAGAACAAGTTAGATTTTACTTGGTTGCAATTTTCAGCCCTAAACTCTTGACAGCTCAGTAGAAAACGTAGCTTTTCACACTTCTTAATGTTAAAGGAAAGAAAAGCAAACAGTGACAACAAAAAAATATCACCAATTATTTCCCTGTCGTATGCCTTTAAATGACTTATCATTTGACATGCAATTTGTAAATGCACTGTGCTTAATTTGACACCCCAGCACACAGAATCTGAGTGAACAACTGTCCTGGAAAATATTCCCAATATAGGAGATGACAATTCAAGGTCAGTTTAGAAATTCCTGGTGAAAGCCATAAGAGGATTTTGCATGTGTCTGCTTAAATAGCAAATGGGGGATATTGAGATCAGCAGGATTGGGGGAGGGAACAAAGAATGTCACTGCTTGGATCACAGTAAGAACTGTGCAGTCCCAATTTATGTGATATGTGAAGCTCAGATTGCAAGTCCTGGCACCTATTTAAAACAGAAAATGAGATTTGACACTGATGACCTCTCAAGTGAAATAGGAAGGTAGCCAAGTAGTTTTACCAAGCTGACTTTGCTGGACCTGGGTTGGATTTTCCTTAGTTTAAGAGTGGTGTTTAGAATGTCCCCCTATATTTCTCTTCTCTTAGTTGCTCTCTCAATAATATAACATTCTATAAATATTTTTCAGCAACTTAAATTCTTTGCGAGACAGAAAGTAATTGTACATAGTAAAACGTCTGATTTAAAAGTTACTTTTGGTGGCATATAGGAGGTATTTATTTCAATATTTGTTTTCCCAACTTTTTGAAGTAGCCTCTATTAAATCTTTAGCGCAGGCTGCTGAACATATTTTTTTTGTTCAAAATTAAGAAGAAATAGCTATATGAAAACATGGATGATAGTTTTTTAAAAGGCTAGAGAAAGATGAACATTTTCTAATATGCCACTTGCTATGTTGCTTTCAATTTCTTTAACTTTTTCTCCTAGAGTCAAGTTAAAAATGTTGCTGGAGAAAAAGCAATTAAATTTGCTCAAAGTTTTCATTTCTCTTTTGTGGCAGTCAGCATCAGCTTGAAAGGTCAACAACAAATTAGTTCCAGGGGCAGCTTTTGAAATCAGTGTACAAAATTAAAGCATTGTGCTTTGTTCCATCAGCTGCATTCTCTGTGAATTACATTGACATGAAACCAGTTGTTTCATCTTTAGAAGGGGCATCCCATAAATCCTGATGAAAAATATAGGTTATATTGATTTTTTTAAAAAAATTACAACTATTTTAAAGTAGTAAAGGAACTTGTGCTTAGTAACTATTATTGTCTTAGTTGCCCTGAATGTTTCAGCCACATCCCTTTAAGTTTTGTTGTGTGTTTCGGGGTACAAATTATCTCGAATAATATTTGGAGTGGGACTAAAACTCTGGCCACCCTCTTTGCATGCCAACAAAAAGTCTGTTAACATAATTTGAAATAGAGCTAGGAAAGAATTCTGCTTGAAATTTTGGAAATGGGATGCCCAGGAAAGTAGGAAAGACATTCCCCTTCTGGGTGCCATCAAGATGAGTTAAATTACAACATCTATTGTACTAATATGATTATCCAGAGGACATCATGTTTGAGAAGGCTAATACAGAGTATTGAAATTTAAGGACCCATGGTTTAACTTTCTGTACTTCAATCTTCACTTATAAAGCCCTTCATGGTATTGGACCTGGGTACTTGAGAGACCACCTGCTGCCAATTACCTCCACCAGACCGATTAGATCCCACAGACTAGGCCTCCTCCGAATTCCATCCGCCGGCCAGTGTCGACTGGTGACTACCCGGAGGAGAGCCTTCTCTGTGGCTGCTCCGACCCTCTGGAACGAACTCCCCGTGGAGATTCGCACCCTCACCACCCTCCAGGCCTTCCGCAAAGCCCTTAAAACCTGGCTGTTCCGACAGGCCTGGGGCTAAAGAACCGTTGCCCCTATCTCGAATGGTATGATTGTTGCGTGTTTTAAATTATGTATTGTTTTGTGTTTGTTGTTAATTTGTCTGTATCCCCCTTCCCTGGTTTGAGTTGTGAGCCGCCCTGAGTCCCCCTTCAGGGGAAAAGGGTGGCATACAAATGAAATAAACATTCAAATAAACAATCTTCAAGCAATTTTGTGATGATTACAATTACAAAAGATTTTGTCAAACTATGCTCATTGTTTTGAAACAGAGCTCAGCTTTGAAAAGACTATTTTTCCTACTTGGGTTTGACCTTGAACAGTTACAGGAAGAGATATAGTACTTCACTGAGAAGTGTACAGAATAAATGTACAGAATGTCTTTGAAACCACTTCTATGTGGATTGTCTACATGTAACGCATATAGAAGAAAACAAGACCTTGCTTACTTAATTTATATATGTAATCTTTCTCTATTTTGTCAATATGTACGTGATTCTTTCTAAAATGTGTGAAAGGGGCAAGGCTATCTAACATTTCATACATTAGAAATCATTTGAAAGAATGAAATCATTAGAAGGCATTGAAAAGAAGGAGTAGGAATGACATCATAGCAGTAGTCAAATATCTCAGCGGTTGCCACAAAGAAGAGGGGGCCAACCTATTCGCCAAAGCACCTGAAGGCAGAACAGAAGGAATTGGGTGGGAACTAATCAAAGAGAGAAGAAACCGAAAACTAAGAAGAAATTTCCTGACAGTGAGAGCCACTGATTACATTAATCATTGGAACAGCTTGCCTCTAAAGGTTGTGGGCGCTCCAACACTGGATATTTTAAAGAGGATTGGACAACAATTTGTCTGTAATGGTATAAGGCTTCCTGCTTGAATGGGGGTTGGACTAGAAGACCTCCAATATCCCTTTCAACTCTGTTAATTTTGTTCTGTTCTTTTTAAAAACTTAGATTAATAGATATCAGTATTATGGAATTCAGGACAATGTTTCTTTCTCATTTTCCTTTCTTCCTTTAGATGCTGAAAACTAGTGATTAAAAATGTGTTAATTGTTGAAAAATTGTACATGCAAAGAGTGGGCATATTTTCTTATGCAGATTAACACTATTATGACTTTTACTTTAGGGCTGCAGGATATATCATAATAAAAAACAAACCATCATTATTTTCAGCAATATTGTCAAAAGAGCTTTCTGGGAGTAATTTCATATAATATTGTAATTTATGAGTAGACTTGTAGTAAAAAAAAATAAAACAGCCAACTGCAATGCACATTAGTCTGTAAAGGATGGGAAAAACAGTACCCTAAACTATCCATGTCCATGGTCCTGCTCCTGAACTTGGAGCCATCCTCATTCCTGTCTTCGATTCTAGAAGTTAATCCCTTTACTACTATTTCCAGCTATCTGATTTGAACCAAAGGCTTTTGTAATTATGTATTTAATGGATATCACTACAAATCAGGTTAGGTTAGGTTAAATTTGGTTAGGTTAGGCCAGGGGTCTGCAAAGCTGGCTGGGGAATTCTGGGAGTTGAAGTCCACCAGTCTTAAAAGAGCCAACTCTGCAGATCCCTGGGTTAGGTCATTGCACAGTATCGTCTCAGTCTAGAAGCTTTGATATGAAAAAAAGAAAAATCAGTATCTCTGTATGAACATGCATACATGAAACCTCTTTAGGACAGGGAATACTTGTAAAGAAAACTGTCCAGGGTCCACTGCATTTTTTCTTTAGCTTTGTAAAGAAGCTAACCCAGTGCCTTAGTGAAATTTCCAAGATGACGTTGTATTCTAGACAGTTTCTTCATCTTTACATTTCAGTTCAGCTCCTGAAAACAATATAAACACTAACAGCTTCATTCCCCTGAGTTGTCAAGTTGAGAATATTTTTGAACTTACTTCTTTTTAAGTTCATGAAAAGAGTGCTGTTCACTTCAGCAAGTATTCAGAGATAGATTGAGGGGCATTTTTAAAAGAAAAAAATACAGATTACATTATATTTGAGATGTTTGTTACTGAAAACACAAAGAACTGTTTATATTGTCAGTTTTCGATCAATGTGCCTTGAAAGAATGTCTCTAGATACCCAGTATGCTATTCTGTTTGGAGATAGCAATATTATGCAAAACATAGAAAAAGAAGAGAAGTGGTAAGCAGAAGAGATTAAAGTAAATGAAAAAAGGCAGAATATAAAATAAAAAAGGAAAATAGCTAATCCAGCTTCACAAAATGACCTGTGGATATTAACCTCCACTATGCATCATTGTCTTTGGTGAACTGAGATTGAACTGACTGGCTCAAGGTGAGGGGTGGACTTCTAAAATTTCAGCAATGGGTTCTCTACTCAGTTGCTGGGTGGGCATGATCATGGTGGGTGTGGCCTAGTTGACCACCTGCACTACAGTGGAGGAGGGTGTTTTTGCCTTCTCCAGGCTCCAAAGGCTTTCTGCAAGCCTCTGGGAGGGCAAAAACTAGCTTCCCCAGGCTCTGGAGGCCGGAAATGGGCATTTCTGGTCTTCTGGAGCTTCCAGGAGGCCTGTTTCCCCCCATCCCTGAGCCTCCGCACTTCTAGACACTGCCACACTATCACCCATATCCCACTAAATAGATAGTATATGCCAGTGATGGTGAACCTTTTTGGCACCAAGTGTCCAAACTGGAATATGCATGCATGTGTGCACAAGCCTTAGCCACACACTGCATGAAGGCAAAAATTCAACACGTTACCACCAACAGCAAATGTCACCTCTGTAATGAGAAAGATGATACAGTCGACTACTTGATCAGTGGGTGTAGCAAAATTTCACAAACTGACTACCTACAATGCCATGACCACGTGGTCATGGCATTGTAGGTAGATCATTCACTGGAAATTGTGCCAAAAGTTTGGATTTGAGTACTGCAAAAACCACTGGGACCATCAGGTTGAGAAGGTTTTAGGTAATGAGAAAGTCAAGATCTTGTGGGACTTCAGAATTCAGACTGACAGGCACTTGGCCCACAACACACCTGACATAACAATAGTTGAAAAGAAAAAAGTATGATTCATTGTCATTGCAATACCTGGAGGTGCATGAATTGAAGATAAACAGCAAGAAAAAATCACAAAGTACCGGGACTTGCAAATTGAAGTTGAGCGGCTGTGGAAAAAGAAATCGTGTATTGTCCTGATTGGAGCCCTTGGAGCAATACCCAAAGGGCTACCTCGCTATTTGGACATTTTAAATTTATCAGACTTGAACATTCTGATTCTACAAAAAACAACCCTACTTGGAACAGCTTATATCCTCCGACGTTACCTTAATACTTCCTAGCTTCTTGGTTAGGACTTGAGCTGTTGAGCTACCAACCAGCCCCAAAGGCTGTGAACCTCACCAAAGATTAACCACATATAATAATAATAATAAATTATACAGACCAACTTTTTAAAGGTATGAGGCAGGGAAAAATTCTTGATAAAATTACCGCATTTTAATATTTTATCCATACGTAATCATGGAAACAATTACACTATTATTATTTATGTAGGCATAGATAATATTTTTCCCTATGTAATAGGCTATCATGTGCTTAGCACATGATACAACATTGCAACAATCTTTGGGACAAACTATTGGGACAAATGGAATAAAGTTCTTACTATATTTATTTCATTTTATCCACTATTATATAAAATAATAATTAGAATAATTTATAAACTGAAAACATACAGGAATGATCTTAAAATATTTGGCTGACTATTACTTTATTCCAGCACTGAACATTTTCAGCAATATTTTAGTTTATTTCTAAATTTTCAAATGTACAACATGGACATTTAAAGCATAGCAATTTATTAATGGTTTCTTCTGACAGAATTATAAATTAGATTAATTTCCAGTAGCTCAGAGATATGAACAATTTCTTTCTCCAGCCAAATTTTCTATTGAACTACAAGAACCACTGACCTGGAACTTTTTCTTATGTTCAATGGGTCAGTGCTTCTTCTTGGTGATCAAGTGTGTTGAAATGTGATTGTTTGTGCACAGGATATAGAAATAGTTTGATTAGTTTTCAGGTGTCCTTTGCCCTGAAAACTAATGGAAGCCAGATATCAAAAAGTTTAATATGGATAAGGCACAAGCTTCAATGCTGACCCACACCATGACAGGTAATAAGTAAAGAAGTATCAAAAGAATTGCATTTCTAATACAGCAGAATCTTAAAGCTAAAAACTTTTCTAACCAAAGTAAGGTACCAAATAGTAGTTACATCATGCTTTGAGTAAAGCAAGAGCTTGACAATATGACCAGGATCACCCTAGGCTAGAAAGATTGGTATTTAAGAATGGGACTCTTCTTGTACAACACAATGAAATTTCACAGCGCTTTAAGCAAACCTGTCTAAGAGAAGACTAAATACAGGGGAAAAATTGGGACAAACTAAACAGCTAATTTGATTATTCTGGTCAAGAAAATGTATACAAAATTGCTTCCTTTTTTCTTTCTTCAATCTACAATAGACTCTTCTTGTGATGCTAGATTGTTGCCCCTGGGTGTAATGTAACACTGAAAGCTTTTGTCTAAGAGTAATGAACAAATTTACCCACTTGAAGAAAAATGTATAAGTGCTGTGGAGGTTTCAAACAGAGTTCTCTATGTTATACTGGCAACATATAGAGATTAAGCTCTAAAATAAGCTTAGCACAGTTGGAAGCATTAAACAAGCAAACAAACCATCCCAAACCATTATCAATTTTAAAAGTTCATTATGGAGTGAGAGAACTTACCTTTGCAGATTCCATGCCAACTTTTCTTTAGCAAGGCTTCTTCCTCTAAATGCTTAGGGATTTAAAAAATTATTATTACCTTTTCTGCAATTTTCAAAGAGTTTTTGCTACTATATTCTGGAACACATGAAGCTTTTGAGTGGCAATCAATACTAATTTCATATCTGGTTTCAAAAAAATTGTCTGGTTTGCTTGGACATATGACCTGCAAAAGAGGAATATACAAGTCTTAATTGGATCTGAAAGCTGCCAATCTAGAGTATTTCCATCTTTTGAGCATTCAAATTCGCTGGCTCTGAACAATCCATGCAGACATGGCCCATTTGTTGCAGAATAGAGAAAGTATGATTAGTATACTAGTAGCATTCAACACCAATTCCTCACACGGTTTCACCCACCGAATTTAAACAATAATACCATAGAATATATAGACTTCTATAAAGCCCATAAAGGTTCAGCAATTAAAGGCACTAAACTTGTCAACTGGACAACCAGTGCTCAGGTTTCAAAACCTAAGCACTGTGTGAGAGATGAGCTCCTGTTACTTTCCCCAGCTCCTGCCCACGTAGCAGTTTGAAAACATGCAAATGCGAGTAGATAAATAGGTACCACTTATGTGGGAAGGTGACAGAGTTCCTTGAGCCTCAGCATATCATCATGCTGGTCACATGACCATGGAAATGCCTTTGGACAATGCTAGCTCCCTCAGATAAGAAACAGAGATTAGCACTGATAGACACAACTGTATGGGGGAAACTTACCATTACCTTTTATAAAACCTATGGAGTCTTATAACCTACTAGCTTTGAGGCTGAGCAAAAATCCTCTAAAGCCACTCTATACAGAAAATCCTGGTGGTGAGAGCAGACTAGCCCCTCCTAGTCCAGCTCCAGATAATAATTCAACAGAAAAATTCAGAAAGTTGAATAGGGTATTATTTAGATCCGGTCAAAAAGTTGTGCTATCTGTGGTGGAGCAGCAATTGACATTATTCTTCTGCTACATCATATCAATGTATCTTGTACCAAAACCCACAAAACTATTTTGGCACATGAGATAGAAAACATTAGTACCTGGTCCTTGAAAGAAATACCTGATGTATAACAAATGATATAATTGGCACTTACTCTTCTTTCATCATACTGAAAATCTGTTGCATTACGTAAGACTAATGGATATATTGTATTCAAAGTAGATATAACATGTCTGCTACAACGTCCTATTTGTCAATGACTACTTCAGCTTCAACCACAATAATACACAGGCAAACAATAGATACAAACTAAAGGTAAACAGCTCCAAACTCAATTGCAGAAAATATGACTTCAGCAACAGAGTGGTCAATGCCTGGAATGCTCTACCCAACTCTGTGGTTACATACTTTACTTTAACTTTAAACTGTCTAGCGTGGACCTCACCCCTTTCCTAAGAGGTCTGTAAGGGGAGCGTACATAAGTGCACCAGCGTGCCTACCGCCCCTGTCCTATTGTCCCCATTTATTCGTACCCATTTCCTATGTCCATGTCCATGTTTATACTTATACCTGTTATTTCATACATGTTTGACAAACTAAATGAAATAAATAAATAAATAAATAACATTCCAATTACTTTCAGCTTTTCCATTGATCTATTTTTTTAAAATTATTGACTGCCATGAAAGAAGAGTCCTACAATGGATGCAGTTTGACTGCATGAATATTGTGTTGTGTTTGTTCTACTGAGTATATATGTGCTTCTGATCACCCTGGTTTTCACTTTTTTTGACAGCGGGCATCTTTCAGAAAAAGTTTAGGCAAAAAGCAATGGCTAATACATTTGCACGTCTCCTGGTTGGTCGAAGAACTGCTGTTTTAGTTGCAACAGTCAGTACTGGAGCTGTGGCTACTGGATACTTTTTAAATCAGCAAAATGTGAAAGCTGAATCTTTTGGACATAAGAAATTATTTCCTCCCAGGTAATAATTTGATTCAGATATTTGAAAATGCATTGGTCTGACAATCTTAAAATATCTGTTGAACATTCTCTACAGTAAGAAGGTTAAGGAAGAATATCCGTAATAAAGTTTTTTTTTTAAAAATTTTTTTTAAAGAAAGTATAGCATATACAGTGACTAAGAAATTTGACAATGGATCAGAGGTGGTATTCAGCCCATTGTCTCCAGTTCGGACGAACTGATAGTGGCAGGTGCGGGAGCTCTGCCCACCCACCTCAACATAATGCGTGAGCACTGCACATGGGCAGAAGGCTGTGCGCATGTGCAGACACGCGCTCACATTTGCGAACTGGTAAGGAAGGTTAGTGAATCCCACCTCTGCAATTGATGTAGAAACCCAGGAGGAAGGGAAAATATTTCCCGGAATGCAAAGGGAACTAGGAATATGGGAAATATGGCATTCCAAAAGCCTTGCCAATAAAGTAATGGAGAAGAGCGAAATCTTAAATTGTTGCCAAATATCTCATTCATAAACTGAGGGGATACAAAGTCAAATAGAGAAAAATTAATATTGAGTATGAGGTAAAATGAATGGGAAAACAGAAGCTGAATTTAAAAAGTTGTTTCAGATTAGTGATTTGGCACAAATCCAATGCTACTATTATAAATTAAACCTATCGTGCTTTCTCTACAATATGCAGGTGTTATTAATATATGATTAGAAGAATCTCTTTATTTAGAAATATACTATTTAATTTCATAAGACCTACTATCTTACAAGTGTTTACAAGATTCTAATCTAAAACTTTAATAATAATTAACAGGTAATATTATTCATTTCAGTGATATCCCATTTTTCTCCAAGTGATATCTTTTATTTAATCTCTACAATAACTATATAAGATAGGTAAGATTGAGAGTGGCTAAATGGTTTGTTTTCACTGAATTAATTCATAATTGGTTGGCATACAATAATTAGGCAACCTATTATTCTTCTGTTAAAATCTGATTTGTAATATTAGGATGCAAAATATCCATATCTGAATACCTAATCTGGTTGGGTTAGATCCGGGGAGACCCAGATCCTAATATCATTCAGTCATAAGGCTAATTGAATCTTTTTGGGTCAGCAACTATGTACATACTGCAAGATTGGTGTGAAGATAAAATTTGGCAGGGGAAATGCCGTATAAAGCTTCCTTGTGTCCCTAGAAGAAAGATGGGATGGAAACATCATAAAGAAATAAAATGTAAACAGACATAATAAAACTACACTTATTCATACCAGTTATTCCTTAAGTTCATGCATCTTGTTTTGGAAGTGAAAGAGAACCATACAAATATGTATTTTGAAGGTATTTTCCCCCTTTCCATCTACCCAAGTGCTGCCATTCTTGACTGAAACTAACTCTGCAGTTAGAAAACCAGCATACTCCAAAGTCATACTGTTAGATTTGTTTTTCTTACAAAACATAAATGCCCATTTGAGTTATCAGTCTTCTGCTGTTTTTCTCAAACTATCAAATTCATACATACAGATTACTTTTCATTCTTAAAGGCATCCAAGACTTCTAGAATATTTAAGGTGTTGATTGAATGCCTAGGCCACAGTTTCTATTGATGAAGTGATTGATGAAGTGAAGAGAAACAAGCATTTCCTGCTCAATACAAAAGCTTTACATTTCTTTGTACCCAGTGCAGACTACCCTGATCTTCGCAAACATAACAACTGCATGGCTGAATGCCTCACTCCAACGATCTATGCCAAATTGAGGGACAAGATGACTCCTGGTGGCTACACACTGGATCAGTGCATCCAAACTGGTGTTGATAATCCTGGACACCCTTTCATTAAAACAGTGGGCATGGTCGCAGGAGATGAAGAATCCTATGAGGTGAAACAGTTTGTATCATATAACATCTTCATTTACTTCATAAAAACATTAGAGAATTGATGCAGAAAACGAAAGGCTTAGACTTCTCAGGATACAGGAAAAGTTTATTTGGCAGCCAGGTTCAGAAAGCTAGGACGTAGCTAACATTGCAAATTCTGAACAACCTTCATTATCGAAGCACGCGTCCTTATACATTCTCAAAAGCAGCGCAACAGGGAAATACTTAACTCCTTTCTTATTGGTTATTTTGGGGGGAAAGCCTTATAAGTAGATGGGGGTCTCACTTCTCCTTTTGTTCTTGGGACACAGGTATGGACTACGTGCACTGGTGGGATTCAAATAAATTAACAACCAGTTCTCTGCCCTAATGACCAGCTGGGTAGGTGTGACTCAGTGGTCATGTGACTGGGTGGGTGTGGCCAACTCAACATCACTCATGTCGATAGGCACTTCGCCTTAGCTGTTACAATGTAAGAAGGGTTAACCAGAGAGGCAGTTTCTGTAAGCAGGGCAATAAAAATTAGGCTAGAAACAACCCCAGAATGTTTCCTTCCTGCCTTCCTTACAGGATTAGCCCTGTGAAGTGGGGAAAAAACAAAAGGAGATTTCTTCCAACAACCGGTTCTCCGAACTGCTTAGAAAGTTAACAATCGGTTCTCCCGAATAGATGCGAACTGGCTGAATCCCACCACTGACTATGTGTCATTGACAGACTTTATTTGAACCTTGTGGTTTGAACTTTTGACATAGGGACATTGGCTAGAACATCTTGTGGTTAGAGGCTGATGACATTTCCTTGTCCCTTTAAGCAAGCTTCGAACTGTCCCTTTTATGCCACGTCTTCATTCTTATATTTTACTTCATATTTTATTCTACTTTAAAATGATGGATACATCGCACATAGGCAGGCTTTTAGGAAGACAAGGAGGTCAGCACAAAATTCAAGCCATAGGATTAATCCTGGTATTTTGTTTTTGTCCTTGGGGAAGTTTGCAGAAGTTTTTTTTTTAAATCTCTCTGGGTGAAATTTAGTGAAGAAATTAAAAAAAAACATAAAAAGACATACTCTGCATAACCATTTCTTGGATAATAAAATGCAGCACAGAAGGCAACATGTATTGGCTTCCAGTAGCTGACTTGTCTGCTGAGCTTAAAATTGAGCCACCTTGTCAATGAAATGAAATAAGAGCCTGTTGTAAAAGTATCCAGCTGCTCTCACATGAAAAATCAGCTATGTAAACAGTTACATCCACATTATTATGCATTTTCTATACACCATTAGAATGTTAAATAATGAACAACCAGTGTCCAAACCAAAAGCTGAGATTTCAACACCTTGATAATACAAGCATGTATCTGCATACTTAGTTTAACAGGAGACAGGATGAGGCATTTAGGGGTGGATTTCTGGTGGCATTTACGACGGTTTGGTGCGTTTACAATTTGTGATTTGCTCCACACATGTGCGCAATAGCCTGTAAATAGGTCTGCACACGTGCAGAACATTACAAATGTTAAAAAAAAGATGTCGTGGCGACCGGGGAACCAGTTCAGGGGCATGGCAAGCATGCCATCCCTACCAGTTCAGCAACCCAGTTGCCATTTCCACTACCAGTTCCACCGAACTGGTGCAAACCGGTAGAAACCCACCACTGGAGGCATTGCAAAATCTAGATGGAAGCCTGTATGTAATATATATACATATACATATACATATACATATACATATACATATACATATATTTAATGTCACAACCCCTGGTAAACCCCAATTATGGGAGGAAGCTAACTGCTTCCATCATCTGTCAATCGGCTCATCACATTATTTATCAGCACAAATAAACACACACACACACACACACATATATATATATATATACACACACAGTATATATATGTATTTTTAATGAAGAATCCTCTTAAAATATTTATGCACTAATTTTCTAGGTCTAGAATAAGAACAGTAAACTCTTATTTTATTTATTATCTTCCTATAATAACAGAATCCAACACTTTAGTGTTTGGCAGAATAAAATAAGCAGAGGCAACCCAGTGTCTCCTGGGTTTGCCTGAAGTATATAACAGCGTGATCAGATATAAGTTCTCTTTGCCAAAAACTCCATAGCAGGCCTTACACTGCTCCCCAGAAACAAGAGGAAATAAATAATTCCTGTAGATTTTCAAAGCAAATGTTTCCAAAGCTTTAGAGAAACTAGGAAAAGGTAGCAAACTTCTTTTTTGTGTTCCTCCATTTTTTTCTCCTTATTAAATCAATGCAATGGAAGAAAGAGGGGTCTCAAAATGCCTGGGAAGTTTATTAAACAATAAACTTTTCTCTGGCACATTGCAGCCCATTGTGCCCTGCCCTTTTTCATTTATTTCTTATTAAACTTGAACAAAGTAACCACAGGGAACAATCTTAAAATGTGATAATGGGTCTTTTGCTTTTTGCTTTTGTTTAGTAGTTCCAAGAACAACCTTGGAATCCTGTTTAGCAAATATCTTCCTTTCTGTTTAAGTATCCTCTGTGATATTTTAGGTAGGGAACACCAAAAGCATTTCTTAAACTAGTTTTTGACTCCAGATCTCTTCCCATTTTAAAAAATTATGGAGACCCCAAACAGCTTTTGTTTGTATGAATTATATTTATTAATATTAATTATATTAAAAATTAAAACTGATGCATTCTCTGCTTCTAACACTTCTCATGATTGTTTGATGGGATTTTAATAGTCTATGCTTTCAGCATAGACTGACAAATAATTTTGATTTTGTGGCAGAATCTTGGAGCGGGGGAGGCTCCGAGGTCCCAGGCCCATATGGTCAATGGTTCAATATAGCATTCAGACTTCAAAGTGAAACCACCCAAGAATTTCCCTCCCTCCCCAAGTCTAGGTTCCTGCATCAATCACCTATCAGGGTGGTCAAAGCCTTCTTTTCCCAAAATGCTTGAAGCCAAAATTTAAATGAGGCTAGCTAATCAATGTAGGGATGCAGTGGCTCAGTGGCTAAGATGCTGAGGTTGTCGATCAGAAAGATCAGCAATTTGGCAGTTCAAATCCCTAGCATCACTAACGGAGTGAGCTCCCAGCTTGTCCTAGCTTCTGCCACCCCAGCAGTTCGAAAGCACGTACAAATGTATGTAGAAAAATAGGGACCACCTCGGTGGAAAGGTAACAGCATTCCGTGTGCCTTTGCATTTAGTCACACCGGCTATATGACCATGGAGATGTCTTTGGACAACACTGACTTGTCAGCTTTGAAACGGAGATGAGCACTACCCCCTAGAGTCAGGAACGAGTAGCACATATGTGCGAGGGGAACCTTTACTTTACCTTTTAGCTAATCAACATATTGTAGAATTCTTGGAGCTGACATACCATAATATGCTTGAGGATCTTGTTCAGGAAGGCAAACTGGCATTTGTTAAAAATTATTCAAAACAAATCAGATTCAAAGTACCAAGAAAGTTAAGCATATGTGTGATTGTTTTATATTATTGAGAATTTTGTGCACTTCTTCAGACTGATGTATGAGCACAGATAGCCTGAACAAAATAATTAACCTACAAAATAAATGATTAAGAAATAAAAAGAAATCACAAGGGGTGGGGGAACTAAATACAAAGTAAACAGGAGAAAATCATACACTTTATTGTCTTGACAGGTATTTGCTGAGATTTTTGATCCTGTTATCAAAGTAAGACACAATGGCTATGACCCCAAACTAATGAAGCATCACACTGACTTGGATTCTTCAAAGGTAGGACCTAACTTAAGTCTTAAAGAAAAAAAAACCTGAAGACAAAACTGGTTTGAGAATAGTGGTAAAAGAATATTATAGTTGATAATAGTATTTCAGTACTACCTTCTTGTTATAGCCTAAGTAAGTCCTTGGACTTACGAATGACAGCTCGGCAGCAGCCAGGTGCGCCTTAACCAATCAGGCGCGTCTGCAAGTTGCCGAGCTGTCATACGCATGGCTATTGGTTCATCCGTCTGACAGCTCCATATAAAAAGCTGTCAGACGGAGGAAGGGTGCCGGTCTATCTCTGTTCTTTGTTCTTGCCTGTAATAAAAGCAGTTGACTTACGGTTACCTCAGACGCCTCAGACTGATTCTTCCGCCGATCTAACACTTTTCAAAAACTATTTTGCGACAGCCAGAAAAATAGGACCGAGTGAAAAATACCACAAGACAAACCAGATAAAACTCCCTTAACAAACTAACAAAAATGTGTGATGCATTAAAACAACTATAGGATACTCAGCAAGTGTCCTCTTAGTGCTGCAAAGGGTATAACCCACATGCATTGTGTGTTTTTTTATCCCGCCATCTGCCCCAAAGCTGCTCTGGGATGAAAGGTAATTCATATGGGAGATATGACATGCAGATCTTGCAGTTATACAAAGTATAGAAGTACTTTTGTTCTGGACAGTTACATACTTTTCCCAGGTTTAAAATGAAAAAAAAAAAAACCTTCCTAAATTTCTGACTGAAATGCTCCTAGATTACACCTGCTTTATTTCCTAGATTTGTTCCCTTGCTTCCAAATCCAAAGCCAGTTTTCTCCATATTCCTGTCCAGCCATTTCAGGGCTTTTGTTCTGAGTTACAAATAATATTCGTATTTCAGATCTTAATTGGATAATATCTATTTTTACTATGTGCTGTCAGATTTCTCCTAAGGACACCAGTATGGTATCATTTTAAATGTTGGGGATTACATGCAGAAAGTAGATGGGTCTATTGCAGGCATGAAATCCTCTTACCTTTGCTACCGGTCTGGGCGGATGGGCGGAGTCTCCTGCCACCCCCACTGCTGTTTTGCCTGAACCGGGACGAACCGGCAGAATACCTCTGGTCCAGGATGAAAACTACATTTGTTTTAATTTAATTTACTTGAAGTGAATTAAATAAATATTCCCCATGTGTTTAGTGAGGAATATATATTTGTTTAATAATTTCTAAATTTTGTCACCTCATTGTTACAATTTAACAGGAAAATTACAGCTAGGTAGTATTCAACCAAGTTCACTGCTGAAATAGAGCAGCCAGCAATTTTGTGATGAATAACTGAATGAAGCATTCAAATTTCTAATTTAGATGACTACATTTTCTCATCAAGAAAAGTTAACTAATGCTGTGTTTTTAAATTCAGAGTCAGGTGTTGTAAATCTACTTCTAGAGGCATTGTAATAACATTGCTAATCTTGGGACCACTGGCTGAAGTAGGGACTAGGGTTCTTGCTCACCAAAATATCTGGAGCCAATCCTGAGTATCTTTAGGTATAATTCACAACTGTCTCAATATATTTTCAAACTATTTGATTTTGGACAGATTGCCCAAGGACAATTCGATGAGCGCTATGTTTTATCCTCCCGTGTGCGCACGGGACGAAGTGTTCGTGGCCTGAGCCTCCCTCCCGCCTGCTCCAGGGCAGAGAGAAGAGCTGTTGAGAACGTTGTTGTCACTGCCTTGTCTGGGCTGAAACAAGACCTGGCTGGAAAATATTACAGCCTGACAACTATGTCTGACAAGGATCAACAACAGCTAATTGATGTAAGTCTAATGCCATACCTGGGACTTGAACATAGATAACAAGGCTAACAATGTGGAGAGTCTCTCTTGAAGAGATTACATGGACACGGGTATGAAGACATAGAACTAATTGTCCTTGCATTCTTCTGGGCCTTTCAGTTTCCCAGTTTTATTTATAATTCTGAGTTTTCTTGGGGCTCTCCAATGATTCTGCTTGGTTTTTCTGAGATCAACTAAGGTTGGTTAAGCTGATTAGGTAAGAGAGTTACTCTTTGGCAGCCAGGGAGGGTTAATTTGGTTCTGATAGGATTAGACAAAGAACTGGCATTCACCCTGGTCATGTCTAAGGGATCAGGAGAAAAAAGGGTACGGTCTCCATTTTGTTGGTTAGATTTATTTTCTTCACCACACAATATAACACACTATTCCTTGCCGGTTGAATATCAACCAATCAACATTTTTCAGCTGGAATTGATTTTTCTTCCCCCTCATCACAATAGAAGCAAATTATGCATTCTGACAAGATCCAAGCAATAGCAATAACACTTAGACTTATATACCGCTTCATGGTGTTTTTACAGCCCTCTCTAAGTGGTTTACAGAGTCAGCCTAGTGACCCCAACAATCTGGGTCCTCATTTTACCCACCTCGGAAGGATAGAAGGCTGAGTCAACCTTGAGCTGGTGAGATTTGAACCGCTGAAGTTACCAGTCAGCTGAAGTAGCCTGCAGCACTGCATTCTAACCACTGTGCCACCTCGGCTCAATATTAAACATACATGAATATATACACACTAACAGATCTCTTTTACTTGTGGAATTCTGGAAAGAATATCACACCCTCAAATAACTCTAGAAAGTATACAAGAATTCATAATCCATTTATTTAAAAATGTGAATTGAAAATTTGAAATATATTTATGTGAAGGTCTGAGTAGAATTAGGGTTAAAATAAATGTTTTTAAAAAAATGCAAATATCCTGCACTCCTGGGAACACTTAGGAAATGTGTTAATGAACAGAGTTGTAAGTAAACATAAAACAAAACTGAGTTGTAATTGAGGACTAACTAGAAAGGAAGAACAGAATTAATCAGCAAAAGCAATATAAAAATATTAGAATAAATTACTTTTTTGTTTCTATTCTTATTTGAATAAGCCTCATGTCTCAAAAAAATCTTATTTGTGGGTATTGATTAACTAAATATTATGTAAAAGCAGTAGGTGTGACTCAAATCTTATTCTGTTATTCCTTATAGTTAATTTAACCCTAAGTAGAATTTAAATGTATTAAGCATAATTTAATTTAATTTTAAAATACTTTAAATTCTTTAATCATTTCTTTCTATCTTAGCATATTACAATTCTTTACAACTAAAAACTACATGAAATTTACAACTTAAAACTACATGAAATTAAAAACATAGTCATATATATTGGAAACCCCATTTTTTATTTCCAGGGAGGAAAAACAAGTATTATTTTTCTGCACTCTTTACCTCTGTGAACTGATTCACCATTATAATTCAACTTTTTTCTTTTTTTTTCTTTCCCTCTGCCTTGAATTATGCTGGTCTCCAGGACCATTTCCTATTTGATAAGCCAGTTTCCCCTTTGTTAACGTGTGCTGGAATGGCCCGTGACTGGCCAGATGCCAGAGGAATATGGTACGAAATGTGAGATGTGCACGTTTTCAATGTGAACAAATAAGAATACTAGTTTCTAACTCAGTTGCTACTATTCCTAATTCTGAGCACGTTTGGAATACACAGTCTCTTCTTCCAGTACATCATCTTTAAGCTTGCAGTAAGCAATATTTTGGTGGCCATGAGTTACTTTTGACCAGCTGCCAGAAATTTGGTTGGTGATGTGAGAAGGGAGAATTCAGGAATGTTGGTTTTGTTTTGTTTTTTGAATAGATGAGTATTCCAGATCTTACATTACAATGTCTCATTCTTTCTCTGACCATCAATAATGGTCAGAGAGAACACCAAGGACCACCAAAAAGGATGTTTTTAGGGCTGTCCATAACCCTGGGCCTATTTTTTTAAATTAAAAACATCTGTGATCAAAGATGTAACAACAACAAGAAAAGAAATTAGGGATTTGGACCCTTTTCTTTGTTTCTATTCTTAATTGTCATAAAATAGCTAAAATAGTCCATAGATATATTCTGGGGCATGATTTCAATACTTTGCTTGCACTAATGCATGTGTGTGTGGCTACATATATATATAGAGAGAGATGCCAAAGGAATGCAATTATCTCTCTTTTTTGTTTTTTGCTTTCTTTAATAAAAGAAGTAAAATTGCTTTCTTTAATGAAACAGTTTTGAACAGGTGAACTATTTTATACTTTTTAATTTCTCAATGTAAAAAAGTTTCTACCAATATTAGTACAAAGGATATTACCAGTCTGGTTTTTAAGGAAAGTCCAAAAGCATGTTGCTCAAGAAACCTTAAGGAGGGATAAGTTATTTAAATTAAAAGCAGTTCTGTTGCCTTTGTTTTAGAAATTCGGTACAACAAAAACACTATAAAGTGTTAATGCAAGCAACCAGGTCAGTGCGGCTCATTAACAATTTCCATCAGGTAAAATCAGTTGGCTCTAGTCTATCCTGATTTGGACTAAACTGGGACAGATCACAGAATATAAATTTAACAATTAAGGTTCTGCTTATTCTTCCAAAGAAAGTAGACAGATATGTAGTGAGATGATGTCTATCACCTCTTCATTTTTCTCTTGCCCTTTTTGGAAACTAAATTGATCAGGACAGGATCCATGTTTAACATGTGATCAATATGTGTTCCCTTTGCCTAAAGAAGGCAGTAATAAATCCTTTATTGGAGAAAAGCTTTTTTACCCTAGGAGTATATAAAATGCTCCTTTTCTGGAAAAATGATTAGAAAAATGATTATGGCCTCTTAGCTCCAGATGTGTCTGAATAATACTGAATAATATTGACTTTCTAGATTCACTTTAACCAGGCTAGGATCTTGTGTTGAAATTATTTGGTAATTTCATTATTTTGTAGACTTCCTGTGTTGAAAATGGGGTGAGGGAGTACAACTCTACTAATTTTCCTGGGTCTCTGGTTGTTTTTAGTACCATCAACCATAATATCTTCCTGGGTTGTCTGGTGAGATTGAACCCTGGGCATCATATTAACATTGTCTAGTCAACCTATCAGGCTGTGTCTAGAAGGTAGTGCTGGTAAAATGTTGTTCAACATTTTCATGAAACTGTAGAGGGAACTTCATGCTAATGTCTCCTAGCTCTATTGTTCCTTATTATTTACTTCACATTGCCTAATCCCGATAATGGGCTATATGATAAATCATCTGAAATTAAATCCAGAAAAGTATTGTTGGTTGATGAAAACTGGACTTGGATATTGTTGTTCCTGAAGATTTGGATGGGGCTACTATTTTCTGTCAAACAGAAGGAGGTTTTGACAATTTTCTTTTTCCTCCCACTCTTACTGCATTTGCTGGGGGCAGCTATGAAGCTAAGAACTACCTTTGCACAGTCACTGCTATTGCACTAGGCAGTGATGGCGAACCATTTTGTAAACGCGTGCCAAAATTGTGTCCAGGAAAATTGTCTTCTGAATTGTGTCACTGAATTGTCTTCAGGAAATCTTCCGGAGCCTGGGGAGGGCAAAAAACAGGCCCGACAGGCCAACAGGAAGTTCGTAAATGAACCCGATCCTCCGGAAGGCTGAAAATCAGCTGGCTGGCGTGTGCATGGGTGCTGGAGCTGACGGCTCATGTTCTGGCAGATATGGCTCCGCATGCCACCTGTGGTATGCGTGCCATAGGTTTGCCATCATGGCACTAGGCTTTTTCTTCTTAATCAGTAGGATCTGGTGCAATGTCATAGTTATTACAGTGTAGTCCATTGAAGGTAATTGCACTATGCTATAGGGTTTAGGACTGAAGTTAGTCTAATGTTGTTTTAGTTTTTTTATTTCACTGATCTCACTTTCAGCTACCCAGGATTGTTATTTATAAGATGGACAACCATGTTATTCTTTAAAATTAAAATAAACTGCATAGATATACAACTGTAGAATCTGAGGGACTTTCTGCTGCATGCAAGGTACAAGGTTTATACGATGCTTGCACAAAACAACCTGTATTAATTGGCCAACTGCTTTTTTTCTTCTTTTGTCCAATATTTCCAGTTCTTAGAGACTGTCTCACATGTCCCTGCAATTTTCTTGGCAAGGTTTTTCAGAAGTATTTTGCCATTGCCTCCTTTCCTAAGAGAAAATGACTGGGGCCAAGGTCACCCAGCTGGCTTTGTGCCTAGGTTGAGATGAGAACTCAGGGTCCCCCAGTTTCTAGCCTAATGCCTTCATTGCTACAAAAGGCTGACTCTCACCGACTGTTTCCTCCTAAATAAGACAGGGTCCCCCCCCCAAATAAGCACTTGGCCGTATTTTCAGGGAGATCATCTTATTTTTGAGGTGCAGGAGGCAGTGAACGTGGTCACCTCATGGCTGCTGCTGCGTTGCAATATTTTCGGGGAGGGCTTATTTTCAGGGGAGGGCTTATTTTAACACATACACTCAATTGCCAGATTGGGCTTATTATCCAGGGAGGTCTTATTTTCAGGGAAAGAGGGTAGCCTTTGTTTAATGAATTTATTTTGATTGAGCTTTTAAGCCTTAAGCAACTTAGGATCTGACTATCCAAATTTCTACTTCATATGCTGCAAAACTGTCTTATTGTTAAGACCTGCCCAAGAGGTTCTTTTGAAGATGCTGCTACTGTCAGACATTTCCTTTAATCCTGTTACTTCCAGGCTTGGCAGCTGCATTCGCCCCCTGCCCCAATATTTATAAAATCTGCCAGAACACATCATTTTCTTCAAAGGATTGTTACATGATTTTATTTATTTTCTGTTAGTTTCAATTTATATTTTAAACCTCTTTATGTTCTAGTTTTGTTTCTAAAACTTTTAAGCTGCCTCAAATGCTCACTAGATCAGACAAGCTGGGTATAAATCAAATACATAGTAAATTAATTAGTCCCAGCTGCCCTGGAGAGAGAATTTAAGAGATATTTTTCTTTTGCCTTACAGTACTGAACTGTACTGAACGCTGGCAGGGAATGCCAAAGACATTTCTATACCAACCCTCTGTAACAAGACTAGCAGCAACAAGCAGATCGTGTGTGAAGTCGACTGAGACTAAAGTGCTGCTAAAGCAGGCGGGATGTCAGAATGTGTGGGCAGAACAGGCAGGCAGAAAACACTCCAAGTCTCAAAGGTGCCAGCTGATGAACCATCTTCAGCCATTGAAAATGCAACCTTGGACTTTGAATTAGAAATCTTAAGAGTAGTGCAGTTTATCTTGGTAGAATGAAATGGAAAGGAATGGGGGAAAATATCTAGCCTCTGTTTTATTACATTCAATGGGATACCTTCACTTGTCTGCTTCATCAAGTTTTAAATCATCTTAAAGATAAACATAATAAACAAATGTTCCCCCTTAACTCAATTTTTCCTTGCATGGTTACATGATAATCTCCATTATTTTAATTCTTATTCTCTAATGTGTGCTACTCAGCCTGTTACAAATAATAAGGTTAATACCTAAAAATCTTGTGTTCATCCCTTTTTCATATTACATAATTATTCTGTCACTCCTGCTATTAAAAAGTTCCTGTAATCCCTGCTTTGCCACATCCAAGTTGATGGCACTCCAATACTCTGACAATACTTTTTGCAATTCCCATTAAAGGATCTTTTGAGGGCTTTTAAGAGAGCAACTGTTATTTTGTTGTGCAAAATTAATATTACTCTCTAGTAGAGAAGGAACAACTTTTCAAAGAAGGTCTTAGGCGTTATCTGGTGCAATGTTTCGTAACCTTGACAACTTTAAGATGTGTGGAATTAAATTCCCAGGATTCCTCAGCCATATTCTGACAGTTTTGGGATTTGAAGTCTGCACATTTAAGGTTGCCAACCCTGAGAAACACTGTTAGTTTTGTGCTGCCCTCAATACCTTGATTACTTTAAAGAGAATGGACAGAATGCAGAAAGACACTTTTCTCAGACAACACACTTTTTTTGACCTGGATGCTGTTATACTTTGCAGTAGGGCCCTCTCTTCTGATAAATTTGTATTTCACTGGCATTTCCTCCATTTCTGTACCAGTTATTCCCTGTATTTTTCAACAAACAAGTCACTTTAGAGAAAATTTAGATAAAGATGATGTATCTCCCATCAATCCTATTTCATAACATTTTAAACTTGAGAGGCAGATTCATCTTCTTCCAGTCAAAAAGCGCTTCCATGCTTTCCCATTTTCAGTTCCCATAGCAGCATAAGCCTCATGTTGCCTTTGTTTCAAAATGTTCTAATACGGCAGCAGTTCACTACCAGTAGGATTAGAGCTGTAAGAGCTGTAGAGCTTTGGAAATTTGGGATTGTGTGGTTGATAGTCAAGAAAAGAATGCAGCTTTGGGGAGCTTGAGTTACTCTTATTTTTGATGCCACCATGAAAGTCCCAACGTGATAAATAACAAAAGGGAAAGGTAAAATGAAAGGACCAGCATATGTGATGATGCTTTTGAAGTTTTCTGTGACCAGAACAACTAATGAACTGTGCATCTCTCAATCAGGCACAACAATGATAAAACATTCCTCATCTGGATCAATGAAGAGGATCACATTAGGGTGATCTCCATGGAAAAAGGTGGCAACATGAAGCGGGTTTTTGAAAGATTTTGTCGTGGATTGATAGAGGTGGATGCTTTTCTTTGACTGTTAAAAATGTATTTTTGGGTTTTAATATAAAAGCCATTTGTGCTTTTATGTTATTGCTGCTAATTTTTCTTTTTATTGTATGTGATATCGTTTGAGTAAAGCAGAATCCTATAGTAGCAGAGTTAGGGCCCTTTAAACTAAAGTGAGGTAATTGGGACAAGAAGCAACGTAGGGAGGAAGGAAACGTAGGAGCTATTTCTTCAATTTATTGCCTTTTTTTTAGAATAAGGCAGTAGGTACCACACAGCCTGTACTGCGTTCTATAAATCAACTTGTTTCTCTCAAGTTGGAAGGGATGAGTGATTTTGCTGTTGTTAAGCAAGTAAGACTTGATACTCACTCAAATCAAGTGGAATAGAACTCGGGCAAAAATGTCAGACACCAGTTCTTCAACTAAAGTAAAGGTGTCAAACTCGCAGCCTGCGGACCAAATTGGTCACATCCTGGCCATGCCCACCCCCGTTTTAGCAAAGAGGGAAAAGTTGTGATACATCACATGCAGGGGTAGGTTTCTGCTAGCATTACTGCCAGTTCGGTGTGCGCAGGATATTAATTACAACAATTATTTTAATATGCATATAGGTTTAAATTGTGACTGAACCAGATTTTAGTTTAATAGGAGGCAGGGTTTGAAGTTTTACAAAGCACAAGTGGCAAGAATTGTGTTAAAATGGCCTCCACCTCTGCTTGCAATAAAAGCAACTTTTCTAACATGCTGCTTAAAACAAAATATACCGTATAATTTTTAAATATGTGCCCTTTGATTAGGTTAATTGTCATAAGCAAATTAACCATTTATTGTATTAAATGATGAGCTAAAATTCATAAAATGGCAACAGATTTTATTAAGTAAGACTATAGCTAGAATAACTGAAAATGCCCTGATCAGTTTCTCAGCTGTGATAAAGCTTTAAACAGCCGAGAAATCAAGATTATAAATTTTAGCACCCCTATCTCTAAATGGAAGCTCTGACTAAAATCAGTAATGTTGTCCTCGAAACGGAAACATGTAGCGTGAAGATCTAATATAGGGTTCTATCTGGCCTCTGAAACTCTATGCTTTACAGATTTATTTGATAGATAAAATATCCTTATTCTATTTGAAGCAGACTGTTGAAGCTTGTGGATTTGACAAACAACAGTCTGGATATAGACAACTAGTACTGTGCACAGATGGCATGTTAATATGCTATGGTGATTCATTGAATTTTATTTCCTTTCCAGGTTGAGAGGTTAATTAGAGAACAAGGATGGGAATTTATGTGGAATGAACACTTAGGATTCGTCTTGACCTGTCCATCTAATCTAGGAACTGGGTTACGTGCAGGAGTTCATGTTAAACTTCCAAAACTTAGCAAAGTATGTAAGCAATTTATATGACTCCTAAACATAAAATAATCTTTTGTGATGCCTGTAAAATCAATCCAACAAAGTAAAACAATGGTGATGTACCTCCTTCCTCTTAAATGGTTTGATTAGATTAACAAGTGTTTACAAACATGCATGTTGTAAAAAAAGGCTCCATATTTTTGTTTTCAAGAAATTGTCCCTTATATTGTAGGATCCCAGATTTTCAAAGATCCTGGAAAATCTGAGACTTCAGAAGCGTGGCACAGGTGGAGTTGACACAGCGGCTGTAGCAGATGTGTATGATATTTCCAACCTAGATCGCATGGGCCGATCAGAGGTAAGTTTCTGCCTAGTTTTTTTTTTTTAAATAGGGCCCAACACTGAAGAGAAACAATTATTTACCTAAATGTCTAAATGTCTATGAAGATTCTCAGTCATCCAGGTAACAGTTGTCCCAAAAGTGCTTTTTCAAGAGGCAACTGGACTCTGGTTTTTCTTTGAAGATGTTTCACTTTTCATCCAAGAAGCTTCTTCAGCTCTCACTGGATGGTGGGGAATTTTGGACAGAAAGGACTGCTGGTTTGAAAGAGGAGTCAAAATTGCATCCAAATTGAATAGCCCTCTTTCAACAGAGGGGGGGGGGATAGGACATCCTCTATCTCCAGTCTACAACCCAGTCCTTTCAACAGTTCCAAGAAGCCTCCACACCCATTCGCACCACTCAGGTGATCCTGACGACACAAATAAACCTCCAGGTGGCTTAATGACTCCCTAAAAGAATGCAAATGACTAGCTGTCTGAAAGGAGTATAATTCCCCAAAATCCAGTCAGAGCTGAAGAGATGGGAAGCAAAATGTTTTCAAAGAAAAACCAGAAAGTCTTGAAAAAGCACGTTTGGGACTAAGTGTCTGAAAGTATTTGCCATATCAACAGTATATTCGTTTATTTGAGGGACAATCCCTACCCAACTCAGTGACTTCTGAGCTGGCCCTGAGTGTGTGTGTGTGATGGAGCTTGTGTCTTAGCTTTGCTTTCTATGATACTCCAGCAGGTGTATATCTTATTTTTGGTTTATTTGTAACAACCTGCATACAGTTTTATTCATTTTAAAGTTGTGTGCCATTCAGAGTTGTGTATATCAGATAGGCGGCGATATAAATAAATAAAAGAAATAAATATGTTAACATATGTGTGGATAATATTAGGGAAAATAAAATCACGAAAGGCTGTAATTTTTTGTATGATATTTGAAAAAGTATATAAATGTAATTAACTGAATCTATTCATCGCAAAAGGGAGTTTCAATGCCCACAATTCTACTATTCGGGGGTTGTTCCTAACTTTCTATTCTGTATCTCTAACACATTTGTTTATTGCTGACCTCTAAATTTCTTTTGTCTTAAATCCTACGTACCTTGATTGTCATTCTCCATAGAGCAATACTCCTTCATAATTCCAACTGTTTTCAAATATTTTTTTTACTTTCTGGTTTCTATTTCTCTTCTGTCCAAGTCTGTTTCTCCACCTTTCCATTCATGTGTTCCCAGCTGGGTTCCTGGCTCTTCTCTTGTTTCAAATCTTTGATTCAGATTATGGAAACGGTTAGAAGAACTTTTTCCTCATGCCAGTCTCAGGCAAAGAAGAACTAGGGCCTCTTGTGTCCTAGTTTTCACTATCCCTATTTCTTTGATTCTGTTTATTTCCCCAGGCAGACACCTTCCCCAATCTTCCCCTACCTGATTGATTGGGAGCTGATGTTTGATTGGCAGATGGATCATCTTATCTCGGGAGAAGGAAGAAGGAAGGAAAAGGCCATGGTGCTTATAGGCTTCTCTAGTAGCCTATCCTTCCACAAAAATGATTTTAAAAATCAGAAGTGAAAAACACACTGTATTAGTTTTTATGATGCATAAAAAGATCTTGAAAAAATATACTTTACACCCTTTCATTTATTTAACATATATGCCATTTTCCTCATAGGCTACAGTCACAAAAAATATACAAAAAATCTTTCTCCAAACAGAGGAAAGGGCCAGAATCAGAGATATGTGAAAACCCTTATTCAGCTAATGAAATTTGGTCTGTATTTACCCATTAGAGGGATGGAAAATAATGTATAATTAAACCATGGGTGATGATGGCCAGCTGTATAATTAAACATCCATATGCAGTATTCCTACATGGAATAATATTTATTCCAAGTAGGACAACCGATTAGGCAAAACTAAGTGTAGAATTACAACTAGAATTGAATATTTCTGCTCTTAATTGTAAGGTTTTCCAGTGCTGTTAATTCTTTACCCTTTTAATTACTCCTATTTTAAGGACCACTGCTCCAAATAAAGATGAATATTAGTGTTCCAGTGTCTTTTTAAAAATTATACCACCCCTTATCTATGCCCTCAACTCAAATAAGCAAATTTTGGGCAGAGGTACCCCTTCATCCTCATTCACCAGACCTCAGTGACACACGCCAAGCCCCCCCACTCCTCCAATATCAAATTATGGAGGAGGAAGTTCTTACTACTAATGAACTTGGCATTTAACAGAACCAATAAAAATTGGTTAGCACTCAGGACCTCAAGTTGGAACAGAGAAGCTGGAAAATGGGCAGGATGCTGATCTCCTCTCCTCCTTCCCCTGTTAAGGCTCCCCCTCCCCATTGTATTCTCTTCAAAATACAGAAAGTTTTCCATATTTATACCACCTTTCCTGGGATTTTTTCTGCTGATGACAGAAAAAACCAGCATTTTCACATATAAAAACTGTGTTAATCTAGCATTTCCACAATTTAGGGTTTTTAAAAGACAAAAGAAAGGACTACATAGTATTACCATGTAAAGGTTTTATCTGAAGGGCAAGCTGCACACATTTTATTTTAAGTTGTAGATTAAACCTTTCTAGATTTAAACTTTGCATTATAGGTGTATGCTTGCACTTTTCTTCCATGTTCTAATTTAGTTTTCTTCCACGTGGCCAATTTCAACACACATAGTATGTCAAAATGACAAGAGATGGATTATCCACAATACACCTTTCTCCTAGAACTAAGAAATGGCATAGTCTAGGAAGAATTGTAAAATATAATTTACTGAAGATATAATAAACTTTGTGGTAAATAATCATCAATATCTTATAGCTTCGTAATCTAATATCAGAAACCTTTACTTATATTTCAGGTGGAACTTGTCCAGTTAGTCATTGATGGTGTGAACTATATGGTTGAGTGTGAAAAGAAACTAGAGAGAGGTCAAGACATCAAGATACCACCACCACTGCCTCAGTTTGGCAAGAAATAAGACTGTTTCTAGTGATTATCATCTGAATGGAAATATGTCTTGCAGGCTGCCTATATATTCTGTGTTCTTTTATAATATTAAAGAAAAATATGGATAACATTTTCCTCAAATAGGTACCTATTAATCAGGGTGTGGTACAGAGTTGTTGAGAAGACGACAAGAACGTAAGATATGGAATTGTGCAGAATAAAAAAGGTTGTAAACAACATTGCTGAAGAGGAGGGTTGCATTTGAAGATTAGTAGTCCTGGAGCATTTCCCTGGGACAATTTAATTTGTTTTAAAGCATACATAAAGCAATCTCATTTCCTTTCTTTTCCTTTTCTTTCTCCAACTATTTCTTCCAATGTCCTCCTTCCATTTCTTTTGTTCACGTTTTCTTCTTTCCTTAATTCTTCCTCTTACCCATTCTTTTTTTCTTTTTCCCCCCCTTTCTGTTTCTGGACATCAATATGCTTGAGAGAGTGTAGTCTGTGCATATGAATTTAAATGGTTGTTATATATAAGTGGAAGCCAAATGTTAAAAGTAAAGTACTAGTTATTACAAGCAATGCATTTTACTTTACATGTTGGTTATTAATGATTTTATTGATTCCTGGCAGAGTCATAGACACACATGCATACACATATTCAAAATGCGCCATATGCACACATTTATGTAACTGTGGGTGGATGGGAGCAATTCCAAGATTGGTTTCAGATGGTGATGGCAACCCTTGACTGGCGAGATGAAGAATTTTTTATTTTTTCTTCCTCTGTACACTTCCTTTGAGTAGGGAAAAAGTATGTTAAATATTGATTGTTTTCATTTTAGATAAGAACAAATTAATGTAATATATTATTATATGTAAAATTAGATCTTAGTGGCATGTTAAATAAATACTTTCTGATGCCTCAGATGCTACATATCTTTTTAATTCACTTTTAAAAGGACATGCGTTATTCACATAGACAATCCTATGGCTTTGGCACAAGGATATTATGCCAGCCTCACACTTGTTAGATCCCAGAGAGCAGAAAACAGGGATGAGGCAGCTATGTCACAGTACCCAATGGCAATGTCACTAGTCATTAATAACAGCAATTCCAGTTATGTTCCCTCATGGAGTTTAATGCATGAGATTGTTACAATGAGGTCACACTGCCTGGAATATGCGTATACTTCATGTACAAGCCAAACAACTGTATTGCTATTGTTCTGCTTCATCCCTGATAAATACTTGCAATTTCACCCTTCTCTGTTCATTCAAATGAGTTAATTTTTGTTGATTTCTTGGTGCCCTCTGAGCTTGGTTATTTTCCAGCTGATATTTCATGACCAAGCTAGCTAACACTATCAGTGCACAGAGGATGGAGTTTGTTGGCTTATATATTGTAGCTTGCCTTGCCAGACGCTATCATCCTATGCACCTATGATGTTACCTAGCCTTGTGATGAAATTTCTGCAGGAAAACAACCAAACTCAGAAAACACCAAGATTCCAATAATTCAACTCTGAACTAGATACGGCGCTACATCACTATTGGAACTGTAGGGGTGTCTGGAGAGAGAGAGAGACAAACAGAGAGAGACAAACAGACAGTGACAGAGAGACACAGAGAGAGCAGAGACAGAGACAGAGAGACAGAAGGAAGGAGAGGCAGAAATTAGTAGATCTGGAAAGCATCTTTGAATGTGAACAAAAACAACATTCTCAACTGGATGCTATTAATTTGGTCCTTTTCAATTATCTAACATTTACTCAAATAATCAATTGAAATCAGTAAAATTCATTTCTGAATAAACATAGAGTAATTGAGAAGATGCATTTCTATTAGCACAGTCTTGAATTTAAAAAATCACCAGATATAACTTATGGTGTGTTGTCTGTAAAACTCAACACAAAACAACATTTATAATCCACATCTGCTAATGTCTTTTATGCTTAGTAAGAAATAAAATCTATTGATTTCAATTATATTAATTTTCAAAAAAGCCAATTTATCAGTTAGGATTATGCTACTGATTTTTATTCAAACAGACATAAAGTTGTTTGTTAATTGCATTTTTTATCTTTTTTCTCATGTCTTTTTTCTATTGAAAACAGTCATGTTGGACATGAGTGAACAGATAAAATTTATATTGAGATATTATTTTATTACACCAATAAAAAAGACTGCAATTCATTACAAGATATTGCACATGCATTTTATTTTTCAAGAATGTTCTGTCAAGCATAATGTTCTGTGATGTGCAGATAAACTCCCATGCATATATGATAATAAGCAAATTAGATAGCAGTGAAGGAACCTAGATTCCCAAAGCTACTTGTCTGGTGTATCTTCACACAACAAAGCTTTGTTGTTTTTTTTATCACTCATTCCTGTGGCTAGTTTTCAATCAAGTGTTTATGTCTTAACCAAGTACATCCTGTTTTGGCTTCTACTATAAATCATCACATGGAGTGCCACAAGGGTAACAGCTCAAGTGTTTTTCAGAGAAAATAATCTGGTGAAAATGCATTGCAGGAAGCAAAAAATAGCTCAGGAGCTTTGCCAGGAATCCAAGCAATATGTGATTATGTATTAATTTTTTTAAAAAATGGGATGGAAAGCTTTTTAATTTTTTTTTAATGAATCCTAATCTGGTGTGATTTCCCTATTTCTCTCAACTCTATTTCAGATGTTCTGTTATTCTGATAGTAGATTTATATCACATGGTACATCTTTGATTATCTAAAATATAAACAACAAGGTATACAGGTTGCTATTTATATTAATCTGAGAGATATTGGGCTTCTATCAGCTTGATTCTGAGGAGTAGATGATATTACTAATGTTAGATCAGATTAGGCAGACCCTCCAATGTTTGTTTCTTAATTTCAGGAGTTTTAAATGGATAGGCTAATTATTTGAAGACTATTTGCAACTGGTGATAGAAAGAAATGGAACCCAGGTACCATATAAAATTAATTAGGATAAATCTTTCTATGTAAAACCTAAAACAGGAAATTTGTCCCCCAAGACTGTAAGTCTGGGGAGCTCCACTATCAACCCAGAGATGGAGTCAAGAAGCTCCAGAAGGAAGATTGCTACACAGGCAGGCTGGTATCACGGCAACACTCCCAACTGATCTCTAGAGCCCAACATAATGAACAGGGCATCACAACCAGTGATTTGCAGGCAGTGCCCCTGAAAGCCATAGGCAATTTCCAGATAACATTTATCACATCTTCACTGTGGTGCTGAGTTCTCACAGGTGTCTAGCCAGCTTTGCCCAGCTCAAACTTGGCTGGGCAAATCTTCTGAGGCAGCCAGGTTTTGGTAATATATGCCAGGTCATTGTTAATCCCTTGGTAATAGCATGGAAAGATTTTGCATTTGATCCTGTTCTATACAAAAGATCAGTGCTTGAGCTAATCCACACTTTCATTAACGATAAAAAAATCTGAAAGCTCCTATTGTAACTTTTCTCAACCAAATACCTTCCAGATGTATTGGGGCAGCCTTCAGAATTCCCAGCCAGCATGACTATTTGCCATTTAAAGACCGGTACATCTGGACAGCGTCAGTTGAAGGTGATTCTAATCCAGTTGTTAAATGTTGTATTATTTCAGATGGCTTACTGAGCAGGATTGGCTTTGAATAGAACTTGAATGGGAGATGATCATGGAATTCCACAAGTATAGACAAAATTAGAATTTTAAAAAAGCAAGTCACAAGGAGCAAAGCCTATATGATTGTATAGTGCATTTATGTAACAGTTTTAGCTACTAGAAATGAGAGGTTGAGATGAAATGAGGAATCAAAATATTGCTCAAAATATGGCAGCATTTTACACTTTATTTGAATTCTTTTTTAAAATGATATTCCCCTTAGTTAATTGTCCATGGTAAATGCTTAGAGGTCAACCTTTAAATCAAGATCTTGTTTGGGAAGCAACCATTTACAAGCTAAGCAAACTAGTTCTTTGTGCATATCTCCATCTACTGGTAAAGTGTTATAGGGCAGAAAAGCTAATTTTCAGTAAAAAGAGGTAATTATTGTAAATAGATTATAAAATATTACTATCCTATGTTTACAGTTCTCTCAGGAAATACTTGTAATATTTGTTTGCAAGTATTTTCCAGGCAAAGACTGGAGCCCTTTTGATTCTGGAACACCACTATGCATATATTTTCACCATAGGCAACTGTGGTTCATATATTATATTCCTTACTGATATATTTTTGCTGTCACAAATATTTTCTTGCAGGGATTTGCACAAAGTATTAAAACAAACTCTATTATATGTACTATCTGGGGAAGTAGAATCTGTATGTAAACAATTTAGATAGGGATTGTTTAAATTATATTTTATTGAATTATTTTAACTTTTATGCAGATGCATTTGTTTTCTGATAACAATCTCATTCATTACATTTACATGTAAAGCAGTTTGGATAAAGCTGAGATAACAGCACATTTCTCTAATATGTTCTTAATTTTCAAGCAGCAATTCTACATTATTACTTATGGACATAAGAGCCCAATCCTGTGAAATCAAAGGAATGTAAATGTATTGAAATCTAATATGCCTAATTTTGCATTGGATCACACAAAAATATAAAACATTCGAGATAAGTGCCACTAAAAATCTTATAAATACGGGTTTATACCCACTTACTGGTAGAATAATTTCAGTAATATATTGAAATGATTAAACAATTCCTGTAGTTCCAATTATTTAAACCAGTTCCTAGAAGAGATTGTTATAACTTCCTATTTTGCACTGAAAACATCAACAGTGATGTTTGAAATAGGTATTACAGTTGTTGGAATGCTGGGAATGTTATTTAGTTCATGCTATATGTTGTATTTTATTACTTTGTTTTATTCCTAGCTCTAAGTTGTTACATTAATAGTCGTTTGGAGAACTATAAATCCTTCAGAGTAGGTCACTATTGGAGCAGTATAGAAATCTATAAGTAAATGAATAAAATAAAGTATCTAGTGAGGCCACACTGCTAAAGCAACTGCTGAATCTCTTCCTAAACAAAAATTATTATTTCCTGGGGAGGAAAGCTATGGCAAATCCAGATAGCATACTAAAAAGCAGAGACATCATCCTGCGTATAGTCAAGGCAGTTTTCCCAGTTGCAATGTATGGCTGTGAAAATTGGACCATAAGAAAGGTTGAGCACCAAAGAATTGAGGCCTTTGAACTATGGTGCTGGAGAAGACTCCTACAAATCCCCTGGATTGCAAAGCGATCAAACCTGTCAGTCCTAGAGGTGATTAACCCTGATTACTCCTTAGAAGGTCAAATCCTGAAGATGAAACTCAAATACTTTGGTCACCTAATGAGAAGAAAGGACTCACTGGAGAAGAGCCTAATGCTGGGAAAGATTGAGGGCAAAAGAAGAACGGGACGATAGAGAATGAGGTGGCTGGATGGAGTCACCAAAGCAGTCGGTGTGAGCTTAAATGGACTCCAGAGGATGGTAGAGGATAGGAAGGCCTGGAGGAACATTGTTCATAGGATCGCAATGAGTCGGACTTCGCAATTAATAACAATAATACCTTTGATAAAGTCTTAAGTTTTTCTATCAGCATATAATACTGCTACTTTTTGCTTGAAATTAACTCTTATTCCAAAATTTACAGTTGATTACCTTGTGACTTATATTCAAGGCTTATATTCAAGAAGAAACAATTGCATATGAAGATTATGAGGAAATATGATTCTACATGAAATATCATTCTTGAGAATCACAGTAGTATAATACCATGATTAAAGTGCTACATTGCCACAGGGTGACAGGCTCTGGTCTACTCAGTACATACCACTCACTGGCTTTAAATCAACCACACGGTTGTTCACTTCACAGAATTATTGATGGGGGAAGGAGGAAAGAGCTGAGTTCTTGAATAAAAAATGGTATGTAATCTAACAAAAAATCTTTATTGACAGTCATTGAAAAACAAGTAGATGGTTTTATATGTAAAAAAGCCATAGACTTAGTGCAGGGGTGTCAAATTGGTGGTATGCTGACTGGCTGCGTCACACACAAGCCACACTCATCCCGGCTCTACAAAGGCAAAAAACATCATGATTTGTCACAATACGTTACGTGACACGATCAAGTTTGACATCGATGACATAGTGGGTCAGGAGTCCAAAACACTCCTGTTAAACCAACTGGGACAGGATAGAAAATAACTTGCCAAAGTGTTCTGACCAACAACAAGAATTTTACATAAGGTTGCATGTTTGGGAAAAGATGAGCCATTCTCACTCTTCTCTTAGAAAACCTGTTTGAGGTATAAAAGCTATCCTCAGAGTTTTAGAATAGGAATGCAATGATACAAGATACTCCAATTCATACTTGCTCCAGGTGAATCACCAACCTTAATTTAATATGGGGGTCACTGAAAAGGCAGGTTTTGTTTAGCAATTTTCAAAAATTTAACAATCTATCCTAGCCCTTTCCTCCATAATAGTTTGCATATCCACTAAACATGTCACTATAAACCACATTCAAATTGATTACGTGCCATGAAGTCATCATCCTCTTTTAGCGACCACTTACATTTCATGCAAATCTATTGTAAAACTAATTTTCAGTTTTATCAGAGCCACGGAAAGCTAGAATGCAAGATAAAATGCGCAGTTCGGATAGGTTGAAAGTAGGGCATAGTTTATGTTTTAATAGAAAAACGGGAACGTTTTGTTCATTTGATCAACTAACACTTTATTTCCGTCGGAAATAAGCGCACGTCAACTGTCTATATTCGCGCAAAAATCACAAGCAGTGATTCTTCATCAGAATAACTGCATAAATGTCAGCATATGGTACATTTGTAATTATGAAGGGACAGGAGTCGGTGGATCTAGAGAACCGGAGCCCTATTTCCCCATCTTTAGAAGATATTAATCTTTACGCATTGACCACACCTTAAGTTCCTTTGACTCCGCCCTTGCTTGGTCACGTCATAAAACTGCTGCCTCATCCACTTCCCGGAAGAGCGGTCCCCAGATGTGTACTTTTTTTTTCGGCCGCTCTTTCCTTTACAGGCTGTAGTTTTCGACTGTTCTGGAGGCGTTTTGTCGCATTGGTGCCCGCACTTTCTGTTCTCGGTGCGCAACTGCGTGGTGCGGAAAAGGCCTTCCGGACAATCAGATACGCCGCGCGGAAGATAAAATGGAGTTACTCCTATAATCTGGATCAGCCTAAATTCTGGGAACTAAGTTTTAGGAAGCTCCTCTGGCGCTCATCGGCTTCCCCGGAAAGTTTGGGCTCTGTACAGCTCATTTCATCGGTATCTTTAGGTAGGCTGTGAAAATCTTCGCTGTGAAATCCCGTAGAGGGACTGCCAAGTCCCCGGGACAAGAACCATTAGCTTCTGACCACGTGTTAGTCTTTCCAACCTGATCACCAGATGTGTTAGTACACCCAGAAGTTCCATTCAGAATTCCGGTAGTGACTGGAAGTTTGGAGAGTTTTTCCTAGAGCACATCTGGAGAGGACAGGTGGTTTCAGGAAGGCATGTCATTTCAAGGCTCAAAAACGTTGCTGATGCCAGAACTGAGTTCACCACCCTGTCCTTCATGAAGATTTGCAACTATAAGTTTTCTTTTTGAAATGTTGCAGTGCTGTTGTGATGATAGATAATATATTGACTGCATTTTATTTCTTTAGTTTTAATTAAATTTCAATGTGTTTTGATTGGGGGGGAGGGTTGTGCAGCTTTTTTGGAGCTCCCTCTATTCACTAAATTGACAACTGCAACTTTTCTTTTTAAAAAAGCTGTGTGTATGCTTTTGCTGAGGACAGTATGTTGGACCTCCAGGTATCATACATGTCCAAGCCCTTCAACCCTGCCTAGAGTATATGGTAAATAATATAGGATGATGGGAGTTGAAGTCCAAAATTTGTAGGACAACAAACTGCTCAACTCTGGCCTAATTCTTTTCAGATGAATTTTCAGATGTTTAGAATGAGTGAGCCTCTACTGCCTTTGTCACTTGGTGACAGTTGCAAAATTGGACATGTGCCATTCTGAAAAAGAAGTACACAAGCAACAGTTCTCTCTGCCTAGATGTATATAATTTACCAGTTAACTACTTGCTTTCCATCTTCGTTTGATAGATATGATTAAATATGGAGCAGCCATCATTAAGTAGAAATACCATCTCTGCCAAGAACAGTGTGTACTTAAGTTCTAGTGGACTGGGCTTTAGGATTAATCATTCTTTGGTATGGATTCTGATTTTTTAATACTTGAAGAACCATTAATGAAACTTTTTATATTATCTGTTCCCATGAGGAAAAACTCCTTGTTTCCTTTTGGGAAGAAACTAATGGCACAGCGGGTCTTGTAAGTATAATTGAGAGCTGCCCATCTTACTGGATTGCGCTAAATCAAAAGAAGACACCATCTGTTTAGCCATTTTAAAAAGTAACTATCAGCAGCTTTTTCATCTTACAAATTCACACAAAGAATTACAGCTGCTGGTGGTGTATCTTTCTCTCCCTGAGCTGTTCAGGTACTTCCATCAGATAAAAACTTTAGTAATTACAGTAATTAAAAACCTGATCTCTGATAGGCCAATCAGCCAGCACTTCCTGATTGGCTGGAATCTGGTCCCTTGAACTGAGAACAGGAAGAGGCAGGGGGAAGGAGCTGGAGGACTCACAGGAAGTAGGCAAGCAGAGGGTCACACTGTTAAAGCTGTGGACACCTTGGGAGAGAGAGATTGCTGTTCCTAGAGAGAACTGCTATATCCTGGGCTGTGGAATGCATTCCTGCTGCCATAAGAGGCAACAGTCCTAAACCAATGGTAGAGTTCAGGAGTGATTGCATTCCTGACCCAGTTGCAGTTTCCTGATTTATCACCTCTGGCTAGAGAGATAGGTCCCATAAACATGTCGCCAAATCTGTAGAGGAAGCGCCCAGGAGAAAGTCAGTAGGATGGCCATTTGACCATGAAACACACATTGACTTATTTGTGTCTTCTACCTGAGATCTAACACAAGTTTTGAGCCCATACATTGGCTGCCACTTAACCACTGACCAATAGATAGGGAGGGATTTGCCTCAGTTAGGTTCTTTGGCATTAGAGATATTAGGACACTCAACCTAAGTGACATTATCTAATATAAAGGGTAATCTCTTACTGTGTTAACTAAACTGCATTTTGCTGTGTTAGTGATTGTATACTCACTGCCCCAGTATTTGTTGCTGCTACCTGTAATTCTACTACTTAAACGTATTTTATACTAAGGGCTAATATCTTAATTAAAGACCCACAAATCTCACAAGGTTTGTCGGTTGTGTTTTGTCAGGCAGGCTGGTCATCTGAGAAGAGGAACAGAAGGCCCGGATCTTCAGTGGCTCCTTTCAGGTGAGCACCTTAATAGTTTAATAGAGACATAATTGGTTCCAGACTCTGCCTGTGAGCCCTTCCTTCAGTCTGTTATAGCAGTGGTCTGCAATCTTGGCAACTTTAAGACCTATGGACTTCAATTCTGGGAGTTGAAGTCCACAAGTCTTAAAGTTGCCAAGGTTGGAGACCACTGTGTTATAGTACATATGGCTTTTGTGTTTAAAAAGCACAAAGTATTTCTTGGTAGAACAAAAGCTCCACATACTGCAATATATGTAAAGAGTTGCTCAAACCAAAGGATTCTTCCATCATTTTCCATAACAGCAGGCCTGGAGACTTGCAGTCTATGTCGTTTAGAAAGCTCTGGTTCCCCATGAACATCATGCTCTACAAAACATCTGCTACATTTTTGTTACTTTTGGAATGAAATGTACAGTAAAATTTGTGATGTCTTAGTACTTCTATAAAGGCTCAGTAGCTAAGACACTGAGCTTGTTGATCAGAAAGGTCAGCAGTTCGGCAGTTCGAATCCCTAGTGCCACGTAACGGAGTGAGCTCCTGTTACTTGTCCCAGCTTCTGCCAACCTAGCAATTCGAAAGTAGATAAAGAATGCAAGTAGAAAAATAGGGACCACCTTTGGTGGGAAGGTAACAGCGTTCCATGTGCCTTCAGTGTTTAGTCATGCCAGCCACATGACCATGGAGACGTCTTTGAACAGTGTTGGCTCTTCAGCTTTGAAACGGAGATGATCGCCGCCCCCTACCGTCGGGAACGATTCATATGTGCGAGGGGAACCTTTACCTCTACCTTTAGTGCTTCTATAATTGTTAGAAGCTCTTTCTATTGGCTCACAATTACTTTCATTTTCTTCATACAGTGATCAGATGACTGTCACTTCATTGATTAAATGTTGAGATGCTATGCCAAAATTCCTTTGTAAATTAAAAACAGATAGCCAGGAAGCATTATAGAATAGCCTTCCTTTTGCTAGTATAAGTTTTTGAAGGAAGAAATACAGTAAGTCATGATTTTCATAACCTCCTGATATTTTTATGCACCTATGACTATTATAATTAGATTGAATTTATCAATGGCAGTAAACATGTGGATTTTGTAGGAAGATTTGGATGAAGCCATGACAAGATGGGCTCGAGCAAGGGTCACACATAACAAGAAAGCCCTAGATGCAACACCATGGGATGATCTGAAAAATGGGGCTGCTGGAACTGTAGAAACAAATAAAAGGCAGAACTCTTCAGATAGATTTTCTTTCAAGAACAACCAAGTGAAAAAGAAAAATAAGAAGAAAAAAGATTACCTGAATGAAGATGTCAATGGCTTTATGGAATACTTAAAACAGAACTCACAGATGTTGCACAATGGCCAGTTGATTGATAGTCATCAGGCAGAGGAAGAAATAGCAACAGCTTTGAAAAAGGACAACCGGCGAGAACAGAGGAGAGTAAAGCGCCAGGAAATTAAGAAGAATATAATGGTAAAATAATCTCTTGTTTTTCTGTTTTTCACTGTTTAATACTTTCTTTTTTTTAAGTGCAAATAGGGACTGCAGCCAAGGGAGATTGAATAAAAATAAGGGATTTATTCTTTTTTTGCCCAGTTGGATATTTTTCAAGAATATTGCGTGCTGTTTCTAAAAAATAACCTGCTCTGAACAATTGGCACATAAAATTGTTAAAATTTTTGGCATTTAATCTCTAAGATGGTTTTACATTTTCTACCAAAGAGGCTGAGTTGAAAGGATTATTTTATTTGTAAAAGAATAAAATGATACATTCAGTCTAGTTTCAAGCATGAACAATTGTGTCCCACTCCATCTAGTATTTTCTGACTGATAAAAATAAATTGTCATAGCCTGACAGTAACTTTACTTTATCAGTCTCACTTTTATTTGTTGTTTCATCTTTATGAGGATACATCAGAGTCAGACAGAGTGCAAGAAGATGGAGCAGTATTGGAAAGAAACAAATTTGTTCATATTATTGATTGCATGCCAACTAAGAGTTAGTGTTGTTTCTTAGTGATCATATACATCCACGATGGTGAACCTATGGCACGTATGCCACAGATTGCATGCGGAGCCATTTTTTAGGGCATACGAGGCGTTGCCCTGTCAGCTCTAACGTGTCTACGCGCTGGCGAGATGACTTTGTCCTTCATTTTTGGGTGCTTTTTACCCTCTGAAGGCTTTCCGGAAGCCTTCGGAGGGCAAAAAACAACCCAATGCGCAAACCAGATGTTCGGGAACAGACTTCCGGTTTTCTCATTGGGCTGTTTTTCTCTCTCTGGAGGCTTCCGGAGGGTTAAAAACAGCTCTATAGGCAACCCAGAAGTCTGTTCCCAAACTTTCAGGTTGCCCATAGCACCATGATTGGTGTGGGCATACCTGGGCATAACCCCCCCTGCACTCCCCCCGCTTTTGGCACACGATGGCAAAAAGGTTAGCCATCACTGATATAGATTTTCTCCATGATGATCCTTACCTAACTTTGACCTATCATCAATGTAACTGAGTCAGCCCACAATGCTGATGGTTGTCATTTTTTTCTTCCACTTTTTCCAGCATTAGAGCCTTTTCCAGAGCACGGAAGTTTTGCATAATGTGTACCAAGTAGGCTAATTTGAGCCTGGTCATTTGTGTCTTGTGAGAATTCGGCTTGATTTGTTCAATAATCCACTGGTTTACTCGCTATTGTTTAATGTGCAATTTCTATATTCTTTAAGAAACTCACAGGAGCAGATGGTCATAAGAAAGTTCCTATACAGAAATTACTTAAACCAGAGATACATGTATATTAGTGCACAACATTTGTTAAAATCTTAGATGTGACCTCTAAGGACTTCCACAAGCTATTTATCAGATTGTAATTTTTAATGGAAGGGCAAAACATTTAAATAAACTAATCATATTAAATATACTTAATTTTAATGACATTTAAATAATACATAATCAACCTTGTTTTTTGTTCTGGCCTATTCATTAGTATGTATAATTTTGCCTTTAGTGTTAGGGTTAGTGTTAATGCAGGGTTAATGTTCTGGAACTTTTAGCATCCTATTCAAATATATATAGGTTGTAGGATGTTTTTCTTGCAAAATTCTGTTGATTAAAAACAGTTGTTAATTATATGATCGGGTGAGATGAGTAGCTTTTCACTTCAAAATTTTTTGGCTTCCAGAGTAAGGGTTAAATTACAAGATTTTTTTTATAAAATGCAAATGTAATTAGTGGGGAAGTGAATAGTAATGGATTCAGACAGTGCTGTGAAGAGGAAGATTTCTGAAAATATATCCTTTCTCTGAAGCATTTCTATTCGGAGAGTATCTGATTATATGTGTGTGTAGTTTCTACTTGTAATATGCGATGGTAAGGTTAGGTTGAGAAGTAGTTAGTGTAAAAAGATATTGCTTTAAATCCATCATGAATTCACATGGTAATTCTCCTTGTACTATCAAAGGTTTGCTTCCACTGTCGAAAACCAGGCCATGGGGTTGCAGATTGTCCAGCTGTCCTTGAAAGCCAAGACATGGGAACAGGAATTTGTTACCGATGTGGCTCTACTGAACATGAAATTAACAAATGCAAAGCCAAACTAGATCCAGCTCTTGGTATGTGTAATAACTATGGTTCTCCGCATGATAAATGCCACCAATTATGAGGGTAATATTGATTTAAATATTCCATGTTAGGATTATGATTTATAAAATCTTGATGTATTTCTTTCATGACACAAACTATATGAATTTCTTTCAGGGGAATTTCCATATGCCAAATGCTTTATTTGTGGGGAAATGGGCCATCTCTCAAGGTCCTGTCCTGATAATCCTAAAGGGCTTTATGCTGAAGGTAAGGCCAATTTTTTAAAAGAAAATCCCATTATTTTCTTAAAAACTGGATTGTTGACGTGCTTCAGAATATTTTTCTTATCTTGAGTGAATGCAGTTGGCTTATCAAGGAACACATGTAGATCTCTTGATAAATTCTACAAATTCTCTCTCTTGAAAAATTCTGCAAGAAAATACTTTACACCATTATTTTACACAGTAGCAACATCCAATGATCTTTGCCATGTTAGTTCTATTCAAAAAAACAAAACAAAATACAGTATCCTCTTTGAAGATTAGAAGATATATATAGGTTTTATTTACCTTTTCACATTAAAATCTCCTAATCTGCAGCAACAGGAAAAGTTTTGAAATTATCTTAATAATAGAGAGTTAGAGGTTCCCATCTATATATTATATTATTGTGCTTACTTAGTGCATCTTTTACCATATATTTAAATAATATGTACCGGACATGTTTGACAAGTTATTTAGTAAAGACAATAAAAGCTGAATAATTTTAGTGAACTTTCAGTAGTACATTCTATTTAGATTTTATTTAGATTTTCCAGGAGTGGAAATTTTAGAATGGGTGTTAGAACAGTAATTGACAAAGCAATCCTGGGATGATTCTTTAATGTTTAACTTTAGAATGTCAGCAATTTTTCAGAATTTAAATAGGACAAATATAGCGAAGATTTTGCTTTTCATTTCCATTCTTAAAATTTTATTAAAATATTTACAAAGAACATAATAATCAAGAATAAAAGAAGCAGAGAAAGACATAACAAAAAGTCTTTTCAAATTTCAGAAAAAATAACTGGGTAAAATTCTGATTAATTTCAATTTCAGGGAAGAATTTCATTTGGCAACAAAAGCAGAAAGAAATCTTTCATCAGTCTTTTCAAGAAAAGAAATCTTAGTAAATTAACCTCCTAGTCAAAGTGAACCCCTATCAGGAAAGGGTTTTCGCCAAGTACCTCATTTGTATCCTTTCCCTTCTCTTTTATGTTTAAGCAGCTGAAGATGCCCATCTAGAGGAAGAAGTAGGTGAAGCTGTAGTAGATATAATTGTTAAAATAGCTAAGCAATGGGAAAGAATGGGCTGGGTTAAAGATAAAGTAAGGCACATCTTAAAAATTCACTTGTTTTTCTTTACTTTGTGTGTCTGTGATGGTGGGGGACATATCATGGAGAGAGGATATCAAAATAAGTAGATAAAAAGAAAAAGGTCTTCACAATCTTGAAAGCTTCACAGAATTACACCTGCTGTTCAAACATAATTTGTCTTTATCCAGCCCTTGCGAGGCATAGAATGGCCACAGATTTTACTGTCTATCTGAACTACTTTCCTTTTCTCATCTGTACATGATAGATTCTAATCTACAGAAAGTGTTTCCTACAACTATTGCAGTCTGCTACTAATTATTAATGAGTCTTATGTTAATTTAAAGTCTAGTAACTTTTTCTGTTAAAATAGAATGTATTGTAATTTTCATTGACGGATACATTTTAAAAAAAAACCCAATCCCCCCCACCACTGCATTTATGCTTCATTTAAAAAATAAAGGTACAATTAATGTTCTGTTCCAAGCCTCTAATTCAGTGTTTTTCAACCTTTTTTGTGCAAAGGCACACTTTTTTCATGAAAAAAATCACGAGGCATACCACCATTAGAAAATGTTAAAAAAATTTAACTCTGTGCCTATATTGACTATATATAAAGTGTTTTTCCCACGGCACACCTTACACTATGTCACGGCACACTAGTGTGCCGCGGCACAGTGGTTGAAAAACACTGCTCTAATTTATACTGATGCAGACTTGGCTGTCTGCCACAACTAAGGAGGGAGATAAGCAACCCCTTGGCTAGGAGCCCAGAAAATTATCTCTGTGAAAACAAGGTTTGAACTCACAAAGTTCTCCCAACCTTTTACTACCCTGGATTAGTAAACTATTGTTTCCTGCAAAGTTCCCCTCCCGTCGCCTCACCTGTAAGCTCTCTGGGAGGGGCCAATCAGTAGCCACCTGTTCCTATTTCCTTCTGTGAGCCTTTTTCCAAAGTTGTTCCCCCCTCCTCTCAACCCTACACAAACACACGTCAGGGACAGCTTCCCTCTGTTCTTCCTCACTGCTCCCCGACTCAGATGCCATCTGGTGGCCAACAGGCCTCTCTAGTCCCTGCTCTGACTCCGAACACCCCCCCCCCCCGAGTCTTCCTCAGCCTCCAGGGCAGTCCCATAGTGTTCATCGCAGTCAGATTCAACGAACAGCTCAGCCGGCTACTGTTGAGCCACAACAAATTAATATACATGGCAGCATGCAATTTATATATATTGCATTCAATTAAATTATTTATATTTATGCTTTTATAGGAGGATCTTGTCGAATTTGTGGATCTGTGGAGCACTTTAAAAGAGACTGTCCAGAAAATCAAAACTCAGGTGAGAAGCTTAGAATTTCTGTTTATTAAGAAGACAGAGTTATATGTACAGAGCTTTCTGTTATGAACTCTAGCTAGATAATTACAAAACACACTGAACAAGCCTTTTTTTCAGATTATATTGATAAATTTAATGTGTTATCCAATATTATCCAATTTTTAACAGGTCATTTGATATCTATTTAAATATATTCCAAAACATATCAGCTGTTGCAGCTCGAGAAAGTATTCACAATTCTCTCTATATATATACAGGAAGCATCTCAACTTACAACAATTCATTTAGTGACCATTCACAGTTACAATGGCAATGAGGAAAACAGTCTACAACATGACTGTTTTTCACACCTATGACCGTTTCATCAGCCCCATGTCACATGATCAAAATTCAGATGCTTGGTAACGGATTCAGATTTGACGGTTGCAGTGTCCTGAGGTCATGTGATCACCTTTTGCATGACCGGACAGTCAATGGGGAAGCCAGATTCACTTAACAACCATGTTACTAACTTTACAATTGCAGACTCACTTAATTGTGGCAAGAAAGGTCATAAAATTGAGCAAATTTCACTTAACAACTGTTTCACTTAGCAACAGAAATTTTGGGCTTAATTGTGGCCATTAAGTCAAGGACTACCTGTGTGTATACATATGTGTGTGTGTGTATACATATACATATATACATACATACATACATATATATACACACATACATACATATATATACATATATACACATACATACATACATACATACATACATACATACATATGTAATTTTGTGTCATAACCCCTGGTATGCTTCCTTTATCGGCTCATCACAAGAGACAAAGCCAGACAAAGCCATTATTTTTACTGTTGCCTTTGTTATATATGTGTGTGTGTGTGTGTGTGTGTGTGTGTATATATATATATATACATACACACACACACACACACACACACACACACATACATATATATATAGCACTGAAGAATTTCAGAAGTGAAATATAATTTTTATAGTAATAGTATCATGAAACTTATTAGCCATGCATTGTAGAATTCTTGTTACAAATTCTTGGAGGAGTCACCTACATCAGATTTATTTTTGAGTAGAAAGAATAAAATTGGAATAAATTAAATAGCATTGTAGCTTTTGGTTTATCAATTGTGGGTAAATGCTAGAAATGTTAGAAAGTATCAATACTAACTGATATTTTTAATCAACTTGAATTTTTTTATAATTTTATCTAACTTTAACATGGATAAAAAACAATGTAAACACGATTGCAACAAATACTTGTACAAATTACAGAATTGTATCCTGGAATAATAGACAGTTGATTTCTCATATATTTTTTCCTCTCCCCCACCCTGCTCCCCAATAGATCGAGCAGCAACCGTTGGCCGGTGGATGAAAGGAATGAGTGCAGATTATGAAGAAGTTCTAGAAAATCCTGGGCCACAAAAAGGAAAACCAAAAGTACCTAAGATTGTTAACTTTTGACCATTACTTTTGTTTTTTTCTATAATACTTCTCAATATATGACTTAAAATAAAAACTGCAAGCTTTTGGAGATCCCAAAAGTACCCATTGTCTTCTAATTATTGATAAAACCTCACGTAAATGGAAACGGCCTGGAGATAAATGAAAAGCCTTTCAATAGGATATGCTATAAATTGTTTGATTGGCCCATTAGCTTTGAACAGGAAGGAAATATTTCCAAATATTACATAATCACTCAGCCTTTGCTCAGTACAGGTAATACCCAACTTAGAACACAATTGGAATTGGAATTTTGGTTGCTCAGTGATGTCATTAAGCAAATATTTGCTTATGAAAAATACAATTTCTAAATAAATGATGGCAACTTAACAGAATGTTGTATAAACTTTATCATATTGATCAGATTATAATATAAAATTATAATTAGCCATCATTTTTATTAAAGCTAACATATTTTAAGTTGCCTGATTTATTATACAGAACATGTGCCAAAGTGACTTGCACAGAAATACAGTTTCAAAATTGTGAAACATATCTATAGTCCAGACTCCTAATACACACATTATAATAAATAGCAGGTTTAAGTTCACTTTAAAATAAACATTTGCATCTAAAATATTTATAATGTAATAATATTATAGATTGCATTTACAAGAATATTTGTAAAATTTAGAAAATGGTTAGATGGTCATTCAGTTAGCCTTGGATGATAGTGCAATTGTCATGATGATGATTTCAAAGAAGTAGATGGCAATTGCTTTGTTAAATTGAAAGTTCATAAAGTTTTCATGGATTTTTATCATTTTTATACCATGTTGGTGCGTTAAATGTAGCTCATTTTGCTGTTCTCTGATTCTAAGAACTGGATGCACATAGATGCTATATCTTCTATTGATTCCCACAGACAAGCAAGGTTTCCAGCAAAGTAAGGCATGATATTATGTACACCATGGATGAAGACAGAAACCTTTAAAATATACAGTCATTGTTATTTAATCCATGCTATAACCAGCATTAACATCACATTGCACTAAATATGGAGGATTCCAAACTTCATATGGGTGCGTGGCTTCTTTCTAAACACAACAGGGATATTTGTTTCAATCACTTCCTAAGGGCTCCATTCTTAAAACACTGGTTGTTCATTGGAAGGCCAAATTATGCTTTATTGCTTAGATATGAAAGTTCACTGATGATCAAACAGAGGGTTCAGCCCACCTAATCCCAAAAGACTATGTGATGAGAGGAATGAATGAAAGGAAATTTAAATATTTCTGTACCCCAAAAACAACAACTTATTCACACAGATGCTATTTGGGAAGCTATTAAACTTCTTTTCATTTAAAACTTTTTCAAGTTATATCATCCCCTTTCTTTTGTAACTTGTAAACGAATATATAAATATCTCAGGTATTTATGTAACAATCCTAAAAGTGAATAAAAGAAAAACTTATTTGTCATTTTATATAAAAACATGATTTTTTTAAAAAAATCATGATTGTGTGTCAAATACTTCAAGAATCAAGTCTAAGTTCTTAATGGATTTGGTGAATATTTCCAATGTACCCTGTTACCCCAAAACTAAGACCTCCCTGGATAATAAGCCCAATCGGGCTTTTGAGTGCATGTGCTAAAATAAGCCCTCCCCTGAAAATAAGCCTTCCCCGAAAATATTGCAACATAGCAGTTATGAGGTGCCCACCCTCGCCACTTCCTACACCTCAATTATAATAAGACCTCCCCAAAAATAAGGCCAAGCACTTATTTCAGGGATCAAAAAAAATAAGACACTTTTTTTTTTGATCCCCGAGAAACACGATTATCACCAAAAATGTGTATGAAAATTTTGAAAAAAAAACCCAATACTGGTGTGAAATAGACAAGAATTGAAAATGTCTGCTCAGCATTTTCCTCTCCCCATTAGAATAATTTCTTTAGGTGAAAAACAATTACAGCTAGATGTAATTCCAATATGCTGTTGTCTTGAATTAAATTACTTTTATATCTGAATGAGGGAGAAAAAAAAGGAAGAAACCAAAATTTACAAAAAGATAGCAGGTAACTTCAAACCACTTACCAAAGAGGAATCCTCATGAGTCTGGATCAGGAATCCAGCACACTGGATTTCATTTTGGTGGTAGTTCTGATGAGCAGGCAGAGTAGCTGTTAGAGCAATTGACTTCACTGCTATTATGTAAGGATCTCTAAATTGAATTAAGTGTAGCGTTATGATCATTAAAGGACAAAAAAAAATGTCTTTGCTTATGAAGCTGCACATTTAGTGGACAAATGCAAGTTGTAATGAGCATAGATTGGTGGCAATGATTAAAGAGGGGCCTCTCTACTATTACATTCTTTTTCTTCTCTCCATTTCTATGTGTTTCCCTAAAAACACCTACTGCTGCTCAGGACAGCATCTTGAAAAGTGGCAGCACTGAATGCCTCTATAATGCATTATTAAATGAAGAATTAAGTATGCAGTTATAGCCAAAGCACTGGTTTGTTGGGATAATAGCCCCGGGCTCATCAGAATTCCAAAAGTTGGGACCAAGAATCTAAGAAACACTAAGACATTTTTATATATATATTTAGTGTCACAACCCCTGGAAACCATAATTATGGGAGGAAGCTAACTGCTTCCATCATCTGTCAATCGGCTCGGCACAAGAGTCCATCATGACAGAAACCCAATATTTTTACTGTTGCCTTATACATACATACATACATACATACATACATACACACGTATGTATGTATGTATGTATGTATGTGTATATATATACACATGTATGTATGTATGTATGTTTATATAAACAATGCTGTTTGCAATGCACATTTAACACAGAGAAGAAATTACCAAAGAATATGAATATATGTACAATAATATACAAACACACACACATAAACACACTAAATATATTTTTTTCAAATTTGATAACTTACTCTGTGTTAGAAGGTTCCCTTTGAGACACAAGAATTAAAAAATCTCTGGGTTTATTTCCATTAGCTGATACTGAGGATGTAATGTGGTATATTTTGTCCTCTTCAGTCACACACTCCATGACTCTACAGTTTCTACAAGCATATAAGACATACAGAAATAAAGTTTAGAGCTTTGTGTATCACTGAAAAGTAACTAACAGACATTATGTAACCTTTAGATCTCAATTGGTAGAAATCTGTTCTGTTTCAGGTTACATCTGTTGAAGTCTTAGCTTTTTTTGTTTTTAAAGAAATGAGGATGAAAAACCAAAGATTTCTTTTTACAAATTCAGACTTATTAAACTGATTAACCAGTTCTGCTTTAAAGGGTTGTTTTTTGTCTGTGTTTGTGTGTGTGTGTGTGTGTGTCAGTGTATTTAGTGTCACAACCCCTGGTATGCCCCAATTATGGGAGGAAGCTAACTGCTTCCATTATCTGTCAATCGGCTCGTCACAAGAGTCCATCACAACAGAAACTCAATATTTTTTTACTGTTGCCTTTGTTATATTTGTGTTATATTATAGACTTAATGGCTAAGACGTCTGCCTAAGATGTAATATAGCCCAGGTTCAAATCCCAGTAAGGGTATGGCTAGCTGATGAGAGCTAAATAGCTTGAAATAGATCTATACTAGTCTCCCTTTATTTATTTATCAGCACAAATATAAAACACACACACACACACACATATATATATATTGCTATTACTATTACTGGGCCTAGCTGCTAGGCTGGTTAAAAATGTTGATTTCATGCTGAGGTTTTAGATCAGGGGTGTGAGAATCGTGTTGTCATGTGATGTATCATGACTTCCCTCCCCCACTTTGCTTAACCGGGGTGGGCATGGCCAGTGCATGACATATCAGGCTTGTGGGCCGCAAGTTTGAAACCCCTGTTTTAGATGATGATGATGTACTTTTGTCTTTTCAGTGTACTGTAAAGAATACTTTGGACCTGAGTGTAAATTAATAAAATACAGTAAGCGCCTTGGAAAGGTCTATCAAAACCCTGAGATCTAGTTGATCTGGATCTGGAGACTTACATTAATTCATGGTGGCCAGATGTTTCCTATCCCTTTACTTGCCTTGGATAGCAATTTAGTCTATTTGAATGCAGTTCCCTATTGGAAACAAAGGTGAGGCAAAATAGGAGTGGAAGGCCTCAGCCTCTTCTCTATTACCTTACACTATATGATCATTTTTTTCAAGCAGTGGATCGAACCTTTCCTTTTCCCTTCACTACCTGTTCCTTTTGGCATGTTTGTGAATCCATTTAGCTTTTCTGAATCTTCTTTCTGCAGGCAATTGCTGCTCACATGCCCCATGGGGGATTACAGTCTAATATGTCTCTACGTTGGCTAAAACAGTCTTCCCTGAAAGATCCTTTGTCTTTTTTAGGTATATCGATTTCCTTCATTATAAAATGTTTAGACTTATATTGCTGTATATTTGAAATTAAAATATTGCTATGATTTCACATATCACACTCAATCTTCTTTATTTCTATTCTCATTAAACTAGTCTATATTATCAAAAATTTGTCAAAATGCCAGCTTTTTTTTTTTTTAAATTAAGGCTGTAAGAACAGATACTAAATGAAAGATACAAAATTATGCTTACAAGTAGTATTTAGTCCAATGCTTATGAAGTGAGAAGTTAGATAAAAGAAAGAATGCCAGTTTCAAAGGTATCTGTATTTGCATTTCAACCTTGATTGACAAAGCATTTTCCTCCTCCAGAGTGTACATTTTTGTCTAGGGAAAAAAGTATTTTTAATGCTGAATTATGCAATCACACAAACTAAGGTTACAAAATGATTTCGTTTTAGAAAACAATCTCCAGATAAGTACGCACCATTCCCTGAAATAAAGTAAGTCAAGTATCATACAACAATAAAGTATAACTTTGTGACCAATAATTCAGTTTCTATAAAATAAATTTATGTCAGAACCAGATATATAGATTTAGGAATTGTGCAAAGAGAACGAATAAATAAATAGAAGAATAGCATTCAGTGTGAAGTAGCGGTTTTATCTTGATAAAAGTAATGTTAACAATAGGAATAATAGCACGCATAGATGAAAATATGAAGTTTCTTTTAGGAATAACCTGCTCCCTAGGATCTGAGTGACCTTTAAAATAGCTGAAGACTTGCTTTGTGTTCCCACTTATGAATAGGAATACAAACCTATCACCAATACGCTTTTCTATATGGGGAAGAAACTAAAAAATTGAAAATGTTTTGTCAAGAAGATTTTCATGTTATATCATATATTAGCATATTATAATGCAAGTTTAAGGTGGATATGTTTTTTAAGATGTTCCTGTACATTTAGTTCTTAATACACAGTGGCTGGGGAATTCTGGAGTTGAAGTAAATCTTCAACTCTTAAATCTTTAAATCTTAAAGATGTTATGCTTCAGAAACTGTCTTGGAGACGAGTCTCTGGAATCAGCAACAATTCTGTCTTATCTGAATTCGGCTTCACCTTGTTTTCCTCCCATCTACTCCCATCAGGTCTGAAGACACAGGCAAGCTCTTTAAATATCCCAAGAGCCGTAGTGGTGCAGTGATTAGAATGCAGTACTTCAGGCTACTTCTGCTGCCTGCAATTTGGTAGTTCGAATCTCACCAGGCTCAAGGTTGACCCAACCTTCTGAGGTCAGTAAAATGGTGAGCCAGATTGTTGGGGGTCATATGCTGACTCTGTAAACCATTTAGAGAGGGCTGTAAAGCACTGTGAAGTGGTATATAAATCTAAGTGCTATTGCTAATAGGAATTTAACAGGAAAAGGCGAAGTATTACTTCAGGATATACAAATAGTAATGATCTTTTCCAACAACTTCATATAGGTATTAAATCACAGGAGAGCCAAGACAGAATCCTTCTTCCCTAGGGGGTTAAGCAGATGTTTCACAGTAGCAACTAAAAACATGCCTCTTCCCTGCAACTCTGAGCTCATTCAAGAACTCCAAAAGCATTATAGCATGAAATGCCACTGAGATGAATGAATACTAACTTACTGCTTCCATTACAGCAACCAAAACTATCTCCGTGCCAAGTCTGGGTTTAAATCCAGAAATAAAATCAGCATCCTTTAGGAATTCCTGACATTGCAGGGCCTTTGTCATAAATTTGTCTAAATACAGAATGCAGAACTTTAGTTTACAATTTGTTTGTCTTTTAATGTGGTGGGGAGATTCAAATGCTTAAAGAAGAATTAATAATCTCAGGGATCATGAGTAGAATGAAGTTTTATAAGCCAAAGCTAGATCAGATATGATCTAATAGGCAAGTAATAGTATGAACCTATTACTTTAATAGGCATCACAGAAATATTTAAAAAGCATCTTTAATTTGTAATTTACAGATTCAGAGTACTCATTTAAAGGGGAAAAAATAATTTTCTTCTTTAAACTAAATATAATTTACGTGATCTACTTATTCATTTGTTATGTTTAGTAATCACAGTGAACTTCTGGAAGACCTATATTTAATTTTATTCTTATATGTAAATCTCTAGTGAATACACTAGAACTATGTACCTCAACTTGATCCTTCACACATGCAATTTCAACATGCACTAGCCAAGAAGTGTAGCATTTGTAACCTTAACACATATCAAGGGAAAATTATTCTGAAAATTCTAATCAAAGTTCTGCCACGATTTCCTGCAGATTTGGGGGTCTTCTCTTTTAAGTTTACCTTCTACTAACATAAAAGGTAATTAATGGTATTTATTTTATTACCAAACATTTTATGTCCCATATTTAGCAAATAAAACTTTCCCCCCAAACTATATACTGTAAATAAGACTAATGAGAATTGTAGTATCAACAGTTATGATTTTGTTGATTATCTTTTAACTTTTTAAGGTTAATTCTACAAAAGTGAGTCTATAGCAACCCCTAAACAGTTATATCTGTTTGCATTAACTCTATCTCGACTCCATTGTCTTAATGTAAACAAAAATAAATCCAGACGATAGACAGTATTTTCTATAGTTGCTGAAATAATGTGATGTTCTTGGTCACATTATTTTTCAGTCTTTATTATTCCTAACTGATAGGTACTTAAAATACACATTTTGAATAGTTAGTCATGATCAATCATGTTTTACTTTGTAATATATTCTTGATAAGTAAATCTGATGGGAGGGGGTATAGTTCTGTAATTTGATGGGCAGTGCTGCAGTTCTCTTCAGAGTAAGAGATTGGTCAGAAGGAAGGTGTCAGGCATACCTTCTTCAATATCCAAGAAAAAAAAACCCCTCAACTCCATTTGAATAGAGATAACGTACTTTTACTGGATATGAATTGAAAACAGCGAAAAAGAAAGCAAGATCTGAGCCAAAAAGGTGTGAACATGTACATATCAAACATTTATCCAGCACCGTCCCCCCAATTCCCCAACCCAATGTCCAATCTGCAACTCCCTAAGGTGTCATGTGGGGTGCATCTTCAAAAAGCCACATCAAGTTGTTATGTGAGACGGTTGGCCTTGACCAAGTCCAAACCCAGGCCATCAGCATGCAGAGAAGATGGTGAGAACAAAACTCCCTTCTTCATAACTCCTCCAGCACCAGTAATTCCCCCTCCCAAATATCTCAAGCCCCCCCTCCCCATTTCTATGGCAGCCGATAGCAAGCAAGGAAAGTAGAGGCTGACACAAAGTGAATCTTTTGTGATTGAAAGGGATCCTTTGTTGCCATCACCAAGAAAAATAGGAGAAAACAAAAAAGAATGGTTAAGGAAGAGAAAAGAGACCTTTCTGCTACTGTAATGCATGTAATCTGCTTTAAGTCAATTCCCATGTCTTCGGTTATCTTTACTCCAAGTAAAAGGATTTTTTTAAAAAAAGAAACAATTATGACATGCACACAAGAATTGTCTATTGAAGTCTATTGTAAGAAAACACATGAGTAGTACCTACACGGTTTAGAATCATACATATCTCCCATCCAGGCTTTGCTGCCAAGACAGTCAGTGCTGTAACATTGCTTTTGATTATGAGTGACTGAAATTTAAAATAGACAATTAATTGCAAACCTGTTAGAAAATACATGGGTTTTTAACTCTTTACAGTTTGGGAAAGTTATAGAGATCGAGCTTGAGATCTTTTAAATAATGAAGGCAATACAAATCTATCTGTATCGGTTTCTCTGATAAATTAAACTCACATATTTGACAGGACATTCTTTAAGTTGTTGATATATGACAGTATCAAGCTAAAAAAAACCTGCAGTAAGGAATGGGCTAAATCTGAATTCAAAGAACATGCTCAGAATCAAATTTGACTGAATTCAATGTGGTAGAGCTAATTTAAAAAAAAATAGAATTGTTACCATAATTTGCACAATTAGCACATTAGGAACATGTATAAAAAATCCTGATACAGATGTCTCTGAATTACATGCCTGTGATGAAAGATTTTTCTTTCCCTCACATGCTCATAAAATCAGTGCTATAAAACCACACTTGCTGTCCTCTCTGCTATCAGCATTATATAAAGCTGGTTAATTTTAAAACAATTCTGATGATAAGTAAACCAAGTTTGGTGAGACAGAATAATATTCCAAAAACATAGTACTGAGTACTAGATTTTTGAAGTTTTGAAAAAATAAAATAAATAAATCAGGGCTGGCCAGCTCAGGGCTTTTAAAAATAGCTTCATTTTTCATGCTTCTCAAGAATATGCTACCCATGTCTCCGTGGTCATGTGGCCAACATGACTAAATGCTGAAGGCACACGGAACGTTGTTACCTTCCCACCCAAGGTGGTTCCTATTTTTCTACTTGCATTTTTTACATGATTTCAAACTGCTAGGCTGGCAGAAGCTGGGACAAGTAACGGGAGCTCACTCCATTACGTGGCGCTAGGGATTCAAACTGCTGAACTGCTGACCATTCTGATCGACAAGCTCAGCATCTTAGCCACTGAACCATCCTTAAAAATGCCCAAAACTGTGTGGGGGAAGAAAGACATAGAAAAATAAATAGAGGAAGCAATAAGATGGCAAACTTGGGCATACTCTTTAACCTAAGAGTTTTTAATCAAATTCTATCTTATCTGTTCAATAAAAATGTTGTCTAAATCTGAAAAAAAAAAAGAATACTAGCCCTGGAACATCTTGTAACATCACTTCCACATCCCTTGCAGCTGAGGCCAAAAATTTAAAAATTGGTCCTAACTTTAAAAAGACTGCTCATCCTGCACTAAATGATCCAATTTTCTTGATGGATATCAATGTGCAAATAATATAAATAGTACCTGGTCGCTAATGTCCCAGAAATCAGGTGTGAAATAGTTTTCTTTCTTCAAGAGAGCATATCTCCTGAAGGTAAGATACATATGTGGAAATAAAGCCAAAAGTATATTAAGGAAATACATGGATTTCAAAGAGCATCCTACACTTCCAAATAGGTTTAAACTACCCAAACCAAGTATTTTTTAAATTGCTGTTTATAAATGTTAATTTTGTTTACATTTACAAATGTGACGAGGAATCACTGTAATAACCATCAATGAAAAATACAGAACTGTGATTGCTAAAACATACCTTATGCTGATAACTAAATTCCAGCATTATCCTTTCAATACATTGGAATATTAAATCCAGCATGCAAGGTGAGGATATGGCTTCCAGATTTTTATGAACACTTGTAGTAATAAAGATGACTATCTGGTAAAACTGGAAGCATTACAGAACCGCAATAGGTATTTTGTCTCCTTTCACTTACAACCCATACACCGGAATATCTTCTTGAATCTGTTCTGCTCCATTATTCCAAAGTATTTTCCATACCGCCTATCAGGAATACGCCTCAAACTGAATATTTGTTTGATATTTCATAAATCAAGTAGTCATTTCTGGATTAACTGAGAAATAACAGTCATTCCATTATAAACAAATTATCAAATTGTGTAATCTTTGAGGGTTATTTTTACCTGAATAATCGAATTTTCTTACGTGCAATAGCTCCATGGTACCTTCTTAAGCCATCCTCCAAATGAACAAAGCAGGTAAACAAGGAATTAGCTATAATATGTGAATTTTTCTTTAAAAAGTAATATTAGGTAAATTAAATGTAATTATACTTCATTTTAAGAATAGCTGATGGTCATGTAACAAATTGTGTGTGACATAAACATTATGATAAAACAAAGCAGGGGATGAAGACAACTATTTGATGAAAATATGTAAATAAACAAAGCAGCACTCTGAAAAGCTTGAGACACTATAATTAATAAAACAAAATTAATTAGCTCTTTTTCACTGGCCTAAATTATTTTCCAAGAAAAATGTAATCTAAAGCACTTTAGAGTCAATTCCTCATATAGAATTCAAATCAAGAAATTTCTTTATTTACAGGATATCTTAATTTCTTCTGTTATTGTTGCAATTATAAAAATCGGTAAAGAAATAATCTTGCTTTATCTACTCATTATCTATTGTCTTCCTTTCCAGCTGAAAAATAACTCACCTTGGACATGGAACTCATTCTGGGAATATGAACATTTCCATGTTTATTGATAGCATTGAAAATAAGAAAGGCACTGTTAATATGCCGTGCTTGACCTTTGGCCCATTCTTCACAATTGTATGCTTCAACCCGAACTCCAACCTCAATACTGGAAAAAAGGTGTTTACTTAGTTTAAAAATGGGTTGAAATCTGCAGTAGTGATTTATTAGTCAGTAGAGTGCAATAACCTTGTAACAACTGGTTGAAATAGATAGCTTAAAGAGAGAATAAAAGAGATTATGACATTATTTTTCAAATACAAAGAAAGCACAAGAAAGGACAAGTTAGAACAGGTTTCAGTTACAGTAGAATTGGTGTTAAATGTCCATTCAAAGAAGTGAGATGGCTCTGTTTCTAGAGAAGAGGTAGAATGTCCTTTGAGGGACCTCTTCAAATAGAAGCTCAGCAGCCAGGTTTTAGAAATAGCCTCACTGGATTTCCTAATTCAAAGAAACGGTTGGCTTAGATAACCTAACACATCAAGTTAGGTTCAAAACCACGGTTAAAAAAACTTGATTTAATACAAGTCAGATTAATTTGTGAAGGGGAAAGAGCCACATTGCTATTGAAAATAATTGGGCTACAAAGGAATAGCTGATGTATCAAGTAGCTGTTTGGTGACTAGCAGTGTGACTGCAGTGATGGAGCTGGCAGTCTTGCTGAGAACTGAAGATTTTGGAGGTGCTCAGAAGCATCCTTTGGGGCTGCAAAATTGGCAGCAGTGGATCCTTTCTGGCAGTGGATCCAATTTGGTAGAAGTGGATTTGCTGAGTTTTCAAAAGGCATGGAAGGATCACACAAGGCAGCTTGGCAGGCTACATGTGGCCTGTGGTTTGAATGTTGTGCAGGCCTGATTGAATGTGATGTATGAAGTATTTTTTTTCTGATCATTCAAGTAATAGGTTGTTTGGATAAAGAAGTAAATAAGTTGTGGTACAGTATAATACAAATCTCACTGAAGCTATTTCAGAATAAAATTGCACAGAATTAAAAATATCTAATTCATTAGTGTTAATTATTTGAATATGCAGAAGTATATTTCATGTAAATGGAGGTTTGAATTATCTGTCCGTTTGCTTTGTCTTTTTTCTTTTTCTGTTATTCTTTTAAATACCAAAAACTTCCATGTAAATGGATTTTGTCATCTTAAAAATATATATCAGAAAAAGAGACAGAAAAATATGATATACTGAATAACAATTTCTGCAAATCTAACTACTGATTTCCTTCCCAAAAATCACCAACTCATTTTCAATTACAGATAGTCCTCAATTTACAACAGTACATTTAGTTCAAAGTTACAACGGTGCTGAAAAAAGTGACATGACCATTTTCAGACTTACAACCTTAGCATCCCCATGATCATATGATTAAAATTCAGATGCTTGGCAATTGGTTCATACTTATGACCATTACTGTGTCCCAAGGTCATGTGACCTTTTGTGACCTTCTGATAAGTAAAGTAAATGGGGAAGCCAGATTCACTTAACAACCATGTTACTAACTTGTTCTGACCCCCCTTCTCCGTCCAGTAACGAATGCCGAGACGAGCTTAACTGGAATGTACTTTAATAGCAAGACACCAAAACTTCGGTGGCTGAAAGCCAAGCAAAACACACAGATAGGGACCTTGGCAGCAACTCAGACAAACTCAGGCAGCAATAAACACAGATAAGGCTTGACAGCAATCCAGCCTGCCAAGCTCACAGTACTGTCTTCTGACATTCAATCCTGCGTTGACTTCTGCAAAGAGGGCTGTGTGCACAAGTAGCTTTTTATAGTCTGGAGAGGA